GCCAATAAAAAATAAGCCCAATTTGATAGCCTCGGGGAATACATTAAAGCTCTCTTAACCGACGGTGACACGCCTTTTGGTGGGTTTTATTGCGATAAGAACCCTCTTAAAACTTTTTACCGTAGGTTGTGTGAGCTTTAATGTATTTACTGAGACAATCACCGTGGGTTTTATCGCACTAAAAGCCCTCTCAAAGGCATATCACCGTGGGTTCCATGAGCTTTACTGTATTAACTGACTCTATCAACGTTGGTTTTACTTCGATAAGAACCCTTTTAAAGGCTTATCACTGTCGGTTGTGTGAGATTTACTATATCAATGGAAGCTATCACCTTGGGTTTCAATGCGATAAGATCCTTCTAAAAAGCTTAAGACAGTGGGTTGTGAGAGCTTTACTGTATTCCTTCGGGCTATCACCGTGGGTTTTATTGCAATTACAACCATCTAAAGGGACAATCACCATGTGTTGTGTGAGCATTACTGCACTCCCTTAGGCTACAACTTTGGTGTTTATTGCGGTATGAACCCTCCAAAATGACCATCACAGTTGGTTCTGGGAGCTTTACTGAATTTCTTGAGGCTATCACCATGGGTTTTATTGCAATAAGAACTCTCTATAAGCCCTTTCATCGAATTTGTGCGAGCTATGGCTTTCACTGTGGGTTCTACTGCGATTAGAACCATCAAAAGGCCTATCACTGGATGTTGTGTGAGCCTAACTTTATTCCTTAGGGAGATAGATGTGATTCTTTTTGCGATGAAAACCCTCTAAAAAACTTAACACCGTGGTTTGTGTAAGCATTTCTGTATTCTTTGTGTTATCACCCTAGGCTTTAGTCGCATGAAAACTATCTAAAAGGCCAATCACAGTGTGATTTATGAGTATATTCCCTGACTCTATAACCGTTGGTTTTACATACATAAGAAACTTATAAAAGACCTATCACCATGGGTATCTTAGCCTCACTGTATTCCATGAGGCTATCGCCGTGGGGTTTATTGCGATAAGAACCCTTTAAAATGTAATTTACATTTGGTTATGTGAGCTTTACTGTACTCCCCGAGCCTATCACATCGGTTTTTATTGCGATAACCACCATCTTAAAGGCCCTATCACCGTGGGTTGTTTGAGCATTTCTGTATTCCATGAAGCTTTCACCGTGAATGTTATTTCATCTGGCCCTGAACAGCATTTATTTTGATTAAAACCATTATAGATGACTGATGATGAACAAAATGCTCAATAGAATTTTTTATCAACATGTGTATGTCATATTATTATATAATTGTTTACAAATGAAGAGAGAATCGTCCGCTCACATTGATTATACAAGTCAAGTGTTAACGTCAGCTTAGTTTAATATCTTATCAGCAGAAAGCACGTTTTGTCACTTGACTTATTAAAAACTGATTAAATACATCATGTCAAGCCATTTTTATAGTGGCGTGAGGGATGTTGCAACTATTCATTATCCCACATGTACATACTCAATCATACCGAGTCTCCAAATTGTATGTAATTTTGTTGTGATTAATGCTTCCGAGGGATCACTTTGTTTCCAGATTTTCATACTTCACAACAGCAGGTGTCAAGTGCCGTGTGGCAGTTGTAAAATGTTGCTGCGTTCTCCACTTCAGTGTTGTTATAATTTTATGGTCCTTCGGGATTATTGATGTCAGCACTATTAAGTGCTGAGAATTGAGTACCGCTCTAACCGGTGCTAGGAAGGGGGTGAGAATGTTGCACTTATTCATTATCCCTCATGTACAGACTCAATCAAACCGAGTCAACAATTTTCATGGAATTTTGTTGTGATTTTTGCTTTCGAAAGATCACTTTGTTTCCAGATTTTTACATATGCTATGATAGTGACATTCATTCATTTAGTTAAACATGTCTAATTAGAAGTAAATATGTTCCCTTTTCCCGCAAATTGTTATATTATGTTTATATTATTTCGTTATCGTGAAATAAGTGTTATGTGGGTGACGCATCCGACGCCCCCCCCCCCCCGACAAAAACAGCCACAGCAAAAAACAATGAATATAGATATAACTCAAAACAATTATAAAGGAACGGCTTTATCCCATTTACGATGTTGCGCGAATCCCATTTTTGAACAAGATTGAAAAAGTTTAGGTTTGATGCTGGCTGCGTTATTGTGTGTGTGTGTGTGTGTGTGTTTTTTTTGTTTTTTTTTTTTCATAGGAAGCAAATGTAGTTTGGGGTTGCATTTTGTTAACGGCACTTGCTTCTTACTTGAAACAAACATTTATAGAACAAAACATAATTTAAACCATTTGCTGATACCAAACTTCAAGAAGGTTTAGAAGATAGAAATAATATTTCATGACTGACCCGCAATGTACAGTGCTAAACAGGGATTAAAAACTATACTTGAATATTCATTTCGTTTGGTATACTGATTTCAATCACTTTGCATTAAGAATAAAGGAAAACGATAACAGGCATACTTATTAAAACGAGATATTTCGAACGACACATATGCCCCCTTTCTAGCCTTTAACTCACATAATTGGTAATTTTGTTATAGACACTTGCGTTAAATGGGTACATGGAAGTGTTCAATTATGGAAGAAAAATAAAAATAATGAAGACTTTGTGATAAATGGTTTTCAAGATAATGAGACATTTAAGGCTCCTATGACCTAGACCTTTGAACTAGTGACCCAAAATCAATAGGAATTATCTAGGTTTTCTAATAGTTATGACCAATCAATATTAGAAATATGAAGACTTTGTGATAGATAGCTTTCAATATAATGAGCGGAAACCATACTATATTCAAAAACCCTGTGACCTTGACATTTGACCTAGTGACCCCAAATCAATTGGAGTCACTAACTAGACATGACCAATCAGTATGTGAAATAATTATGAATACTTTGTGATAGACAGTTTTTAAAATAATCAACGGAAGCCATGTGGTCTACCGACAAACAGACCGACGGACCGACATTAGCAAAACAATATACCCCCTCTTCTTCGAAGGGAGGAAATAATAAATAAAAGACAAATACACTTTCGTGTTTTGTTTATTAAATTCGTAATTGGTTAACATTGTATGGTCAATATATGATAATATGTGGAAACCATTCTGACATTTAAGGCCCATGTGACCTTGACCTTTGATCTAGTGACCCCCAAAAGCAATACGGATCATCTGTTGGTTATGACCAATCACTATGTGAAATATGAAGACTTTGTGATAATTATATTTCAAGATAATGAGCTGAAATCATACTACCATTGAAATACCCAGTGACCTTGACTTTTGACCCTGTGACCCAAAAATCAATAGTGGTCATCTACTAGTTATGACCAATCAAAATGTAAAATATGTAGACACCAAACGAATTTGTGTTTTAATTTGTAATTGGTTGACATAAAATAATATGTTTACTTTAGTTGGCCATTGTACCTAAACATGCTGCTTAACAGATAATCTCCAAGCAAAGTTTTGATAACTGGAAGCTAACTTTGGAAAGGTAAGGGTATTTTTCGGGACGGCAATGCGGCAAATATATGCAAGCTTATTCGGAATCATATAAAGTTCTTTGAACGTTATAAGTTTCCATTCTTTTACTTACAACACAATTGTTTTAGTATAGTTAAAACTTATTACAGGGCATACTAAATTGGACAAAGCTATCGATAATTCTTTCAATATAATCTATTATTGTGAACTCCATGGATAGAGTGGAAGTTTGTTCCGGACAAAAGGAGGCCTTTCAAAAAACGATCAAACGGCGGAAAAACTGTAAACAATAATTTAACTGGAACACAATGTAAATCTACACATCTCCTATTAGTAGTGAAACTTTCTAGGCTGAAATCCAGTCAATTATTGATAATAGCCCAGACAAAAATATATAATAAGGCATCAAAGAAGAATAACTATTTGTAAGATTAATTTACTAAAACGTATGGCTTTAATGACCAGCTCCTCATACTTAACTTAATTAAATGGACATTACTAGGTATATCCATTTACACCAAGGACCTTTTTGATGCTAAGTTTCTTAAATATGCAATCATGGTTCCATTATTACCGCCGTATACACACAAACCGCAGATGTTTCACGAAGTTAAAGTATCAAAATATTCATGCTTAAATTTTGAATTCTATTTATTTACTTATTTATTAATTTATTATTTATTTATTTATTTTATTTTATTTTTATTATTATTTTGCTAAGGAGTGTGGACGGTAGCTTTCAATTACCTCTGCCGTCTACGAATAGACTCAGTCAAGCCGAGTGTGGAATATATTTAATTTACATTTTTGTTGTACACTCCTTTTAGGAACAGACAGCCAAATTACACAATTATATACATTTTCCATAGCGGAATTTAGATTCTTCTTTGAAACTTTATCGACTTTTATCATTGATACGATATCGAAGTCGTGCCAACTGTGTGGCTTAGTTAACACATAAAACCATTTAACACATAGCCGTGACTTAATATAAGCGACTACGTAAAAATGGTATTGACGTCATTTGCGTTATACAAACATAGCGTAAAGACGCGTTAAAAGTTAGTGTCACACTATAGGCGCGTCAGTCAACAATGATTTATTTATGCACATTAAGCAGTCTTTAATATGGGTATGTGAGAAATAGAATATTACATTGGTCAAGGTTCATTACTGAATTAATTTAAGACGTTGAATAAAATAATATTTTGCTCGCCAAAGACTCGCATAATACAATTTAACTAGTTCAATAAATTCAGTATTGAGCTTAAACTCATTCAATATCCTCTATATCATAAACTGTAACCTATTGGAAATTCTTCCTAAAGATAACTGAATGTTTTGTTTTGAACTCTCTTGTGAAACTATGTAAAGGTTGACATGCATGATACATAATTCATTTGATGCAAACAAAAAAACTTTATTTCGCTATCGTTCATCCGTTTAACTAGGCAAATTATTCAGGCGAAATCTGTTTTGATGTCACTCGTGGACAATTCATTCAAACATAAGCATGTGAAGAAAATGGAAGTGATAGTTATAATGTACTATTTACTCATGTTCACAATAGAACCTGCGGCTTGTTTGAAAATCATCAGTCAAAGTGGAGTAGCAATAGAGTATGCAATTGAATATGAAAGTAAGTGTCAGCCTTCAGCAGAGAGGTTCACAATCATTATTGGGATATCATTTGTCCAGTGCTTACAGGAATGTGGACTGAGAAAACACTGTGGAGCACTTAATTTTTGGAGGAAAGTTAGCGGATGTGAGCTATTTGCAGACAGTGTAGATGGTGATTTGAACGATTGGAATTGCTTACATATCTTTGCAAAAGATATTCATATAGATAAAGTAAATTGAAAATATTATTCAAAAAATATGGCATTGATTTTCTTAAACTAATTATGATTTTTAGGAAATTATAATGATTATTTATACTTTCTAAAGCTTAGATTACAGTCTCATTTTTGGTTTATCCTTCATGCAAAAATTGTGGGTTTTTTTTTGCGAAATATGATGGAAATTTTGTTTTGAATTTTACGATTGATTTCTGTTGTTGTTGTTTTTTTGTTATCACACAAGCCCTGTACTCACTGTGTTCTCGGTGACGTTTGTGACTCCGTAAGTGCTACTTGCCGAACTAAAGGTAAGATATTTCTTGGAATGTATGATATAATCACATATTTCATCTATGTTTCCAGAAATACATTAAAGAAAAACGTGTTGCATAATAATTAAAAAAATTTACATAACAAAAAGTCGTTTTAGGATTTAAACATAGTATCAGTTGATTTTTATCCATATATTTGCTAAATATTAGAAGTTCTCCTGAATTAAGTTAATGCTTTTTATGTTTTGAATGGGTTTGAATTAAATGAATTGCACGTTAAAATGATGTATTTATTTAATGAAACGTTACCGAGCTTTATGATTATATAGTAATAATACATAACGGTTTTGGCAAAACTGCCTACAAATAACTAAAATAATAACTGCTTCTAGTTGATCAAAGTCTGGTCCGGAAACATTTACCGATAGTTGTTTTTGTTTGTTCTTGTGTGCCGTAATACGTGTTTCCTCTTTCTTTCGTGAGACAAATGGACCACGACCAGCTTTCCAACAATTAGTTTGGTTCTAGCTCTCTCAACATCCGTTGCCCTGTGAAAGTATGGTGCTATTTTTGTACGCTACACAGATGGCACAAAAGATCTCCAAAGCATAAATCATTTTCTGTGAAAACAGCAAGTTTTTCAGATTTTTACTTTCCTACTGTCAACGTCGATTATTCGGTTTCTTTAATCTAACCACCGATGACCAAAAGAAGGTTGTTTATAAAAGGTACGCACTTGGCACGTTATTTTGTTTGAAATTTTGTTTTGTAAAAATCATGTGCATGAAAGGTTTTTTTTTGTTTTGTTTTTTCAAGAATGTCCACCGGATCTTCTGCCTAGTAATAGTACACATTACGGCAATATGTTTTCAATTGGTTTCACTGTTAGATATTTGTGTAATGATGGTTACATGATAATAGGAGGGGGTGTTAAAGAAACAGCCATATGCATGGATAACGGTAGATGGAACGCTTCTGGGTGCGAATTAGGTAAGTGCAATGAATCAAAATTGATCAGTTATGTTTTATTTTTTGTCTTATTCGTGCCTGGTCCTTCAGGATACCTAATTGTGTTGAAGACTTAACATTGCATAAGAAGGTACACGGTAAAGAATGCTAACACTTGATGGTTTTTCAAGACTAAATCTTTCCAAGTAGATTGTTTTATTTATTAATTTATCTATTTTTATTTTTATTAAAAATATTATTATCAATATTATTATTATTATTATAATTATTATTTTCATTATCATTACCATCATTTTTATTATTATAATTATCATTATTATTATTATTATTATCATCAAATTTTGATTTTATTTTTCTCGAAGTGTTTTGTATAATACTACATGTATAAACGTCATTGTAACAATTTTTCTGATAGTTATTCTTAAAGTAGATCTTAATTCTAAGCATAACACAAAGGTGATTTATTAACATGTATGTATTGCATTTGTGAATATTTAGTGTCATGTGGGGAACCTTCCATACAGAACGCAAATGTAGTCTTAGATGCAACAAACGGGACATTTTACATGGATACGGCTACGGTAACATGTGAAGCCTGGTATCAAACCAGAAAAAATACAATAACCTGTCAGAAATCTGGAAAATGGGAATCAACGATATGTGAAGGTATCGAAACAAATGTAGTATTTTTCGTTTGTATCATTTTGAAGATCAATATTTCTACTTTATAAACAATATCGTTTTAACACATTTAATGTGACATTCATGGATACATTTTTGAAAGGTTTCTTTTCAAGAATAGATGTATACTATTTATTTAAACTAACAAGATCATCTTGATTAAAATGCATTAATTTCCGATATATTTACGACTTTCATTTGAAATTCACATATGAATGTTAACGTAATGGCAGCAGATCCACGTTACTCAGATTCCGTTTATCTCGAAGTATAATGAACATTCCCTTGAAGTTCGAGTTACCGAGAGTCAAACTGTATTAAGATTGCTTTGATGACAAAACTGAGTTAGTCTTCTTTGAAATATTTCAGTTAATTTTCAGATTGTTACTTGACTATACCTAAGGAGTATACTGGGAAACGGAATACAACAGTCACAGGAATGCCGTGTTACCGATGGGATTCGCCTGAGGCAATGGAATATAACTACACTGACCTTCAATACTTCCCCGAATCGACCTTGTCGGAGGCTGGGAACTTTTGTAGAAACCCAGACAGTCGGTATTTTGAGCCATGGTGCATCACAACAAATCAAAATGCTGGTTATTGGGAGTATTGTGGTATAAAAAAATGTAAATGAAAGTGAACCTGACAAATGCAAATTGTGACTTTTAATTGCAAACATTCTGCGAACAAAGGTGTGCATCATGATCTTTTCCTTCGAGGGTCCAATGATTCCAATGACATATAGGTTTTGTTTATTTTTGTCACTACAATTTGCACTTATATTTTCTAGATACATTTTTTCTAATGACATTACAATTTATTTAAGTAAGATTGCACCCGAAAATAGCTAAGGCTGTTAAGTAAAGTGCTTTCCAAATCTTATAGTGTAACATTTTCACAATAATATTGTTTATACTGAGGTACAAAATATGTTTCTATACATAATCTGTATTTTTTTACGAAAAACATGTTATGGAAATCCGTATTAAAGTCATATATGGATTAGAAGATAGTACGGTCCCGTACATCTTAATTATACGGTCCCGTACATCTCCATAAAACGTTAAATTCATTATTTTAATTGTATAAATATTTAAAAAATCTAAATCACTTTGTGTGCTAAATAAATAATGTATACGTACGATGATTTTTTTGTGATGAATTCAATGACATTTAAAAAGCGGCTATTAAAATCTGAGCGTAATTTGCAAGTCAAACAATAAATATTTGATCACAGAAAAAAGTATTCAATTGTTCTTGTCCTGTAGATCATTATCATTGATATTGGACATTGTCCATAGAGTGAGCTACTTGAATTTACAATTTAGATTATTGATTTGATCTTTAAAATACAAAATTTTAGACATGTTTTTATGATAGAGGTAGTAGGATATGGAATAAGATAAAATAAGTAAAAAAAATAATGTGTGCCGATATCGTTATTATCAAATTTCATTTTCTGAAGCCCATACTTTTAAGTGACATTATGTTTTTTATGTTCTTTTTTCTTCGCTGCCAAATTAAGTTTAATTAGCAATTCATACAAAAAGATTCATAATTCACAAGTTGACTGACCTATAATTAAGTATGAAAATGACTAGTATTAACTATAATTTAAACTACCTAACTTATAAGAATGACTGCCCTACACTTTTTCTGTAAGATATCAGTCGAGAACTGTTCAATATGTAAAATAATGAATTTCATGAGGCGCGTAGCGCCGAAGGGAATTCAATATTTTACATATTGGTCAGTTTCAGGCTTATATCTTACTTGAATTACTACTTTTACTATCAAATATCATGTTATCTAATGTTTTTAGCAATTATCTTTTTCTTACGTGCAAAAACATTTAGGTAGCCTATTAAATAACAAAATGTTCGTAGCATGAAATTTTCATGTTTTGAAATATAATCAATTATGTGGACCTACACGCATACAGTATACATCAATTTACGTTTGGAATTTTTAAAACAAAAATTAAAAATAAAACAAATTCGAATTTGTGTTAAATCTCGGTTATTTTGAATTATTGACTGAGACAATTAATTACTTTTAAAAAGGATTTATACCGACAATTTAGTGTTAAATTATTTTTTACCTTCTGATATAAGAGGTTACATTTTACTTTATCGTTTTTTTTAGCTCATTTTATTTCTTTTTTATGATAATTTCCCAGAAACCCCTGTGGTCATACAAGTTTCTTTCACAACACGGTACGCTGTCTAATATTAATAATTATGTTACATATTGAATATAGAACTTACACATTAATATTGGACACCTATCTGTACTGTATTAAAAATACAGTACGGTCAGAACAAAGGAATGACGTCATTGTAGTAATTTAATGTTACAAACGAAACGCTACCGATTATATATTAAATTTCCTTGAGTTAGGTTGATTATTTACTATTTCTGCATAGTAAAATGTTGTTTCAACAATTGAGGTAAAATGTTAAGTTATTTTGACATAACCTGTACATTCACAATTTACACGTAGATGGGCATATATCAATTTTAGAATAAGTATCCGGGTCGTGTTCAGGCAATTAACTATGTATTGTTTGATTTTATTAACCTGTCAATTCCATACTGATTATACGGTCAATGCACAGAATATATTAATATTCGATAAATGTTCGGTAAATTCCGTGAGGTGTACTCAGTAAGATGTGATTAAAATCGCCTTGTTCATTTGAAAAAGTTTCACTGACCGCTATAGCTCAATAGGGAAAACTATAGGCATATAATATCTAAATCTCCTACATGTTGTAAGATCGAGACAGCGTTTTTCCAGTTTCTTTTTATTCATAACTATTTTCAACATTTTTGAAGTTATGGTTGTTCTTTTGTTTTCAATATGTTTTGCACTTTTTTGGAAACATTATACTTTTGTGTACAACATTGTTTAAGAATAAATATTCAAAATTAATTCGCATTTAAATCATTGAATGTCATTCAGTGCAGCATAAAACAGTATAAAACGTGACAATTCAGTGTTTCTCGGTAATTCTTGTTTCATATCCGTGTAGACAATTTTGCAAGCCCTTGACCATTTTCATTATCATATACTTAAAAATAAAAGAAGAAGAAGCCTGGAAAGAATATCAAAAGAAGGGATCGAACCTCGGACCTCTTATACATTAGCTAATTACTTAACCGACTGTGTTATTGCAGATGTTACAAGGACAAACATTAGATAAGTGGGAGTTTTCCAAACGTTTGTTATATACTCCGTATTAATTCTCGTAAAATAAACAGGCAAAACCGAAGTGGGATCAAATATTAAAATGAGTGCTATAATGTATTCATTATTGACAGGTCATTAAAATCAGACTATGTGTTTAGATTTAATTAAGATGGCTGTGGTGATTAAAGTAATAGCTGAAGTAAGCAAGTCTACAAGATGGATTAAACCACGCCTTATATATCACATATCGATATAAATTAACTTGCCGATGCGGTGAGTGTGTGAGTGTATACTTGAATGCAACAGATATAATAATATATTTAAACCATCCTTGAGGTCTTGTTTAGTTTGTGTGCTACTAAGCCATCCAAATATAATATAATAAGTATAACAATAACTTCTAATGATCAGTTACACTTTCAAAGCAAATATTCAACTCTAGAAATTAACATACATGTGGATGTAAAGTTTATCACCACTTATCAGCCTAGTTCTTATCACTGTTGAGTATGTAAAAACTGTCAGAACTTTGCTTATTATCTTAATTACATGGATAGTATATAAATGTACCCATTGATTATATCATTAACTATTTCAATATCTTACAATGATCTCTGTATTTCAAATGTATCTTAACAAGAATAAAAAAAAATAATAATAAAAATAAGACAGCTCATTGTATTGTTCACGAAACACAATCTTTATCCATTTATGTTCTTATTCTTTGAACGACCGTCATGCCAACTGATAGGATAAGTCATACTTTGTATTATTTTTCCCTAGGTAATTATCATAATTATTAATTTATCTGTGATATCTATGATGCGAATGAGACTTGTTTTTCATAATAATTAAAGTAGACCTTAATAAATGTAATTATTATTGAAAAAAACAACATTTTTTTTAAACTTGATCGGGATAAAGACGACAAGGGGTTCGTGTGAAATTTTAAATTGAACATTCTGTTTATCTTTACTATGAGCATGAGGAGAAGGCAAACATGACGTATGACGTAAAGGTCTATGCGATAACTGGATGATTTTGATCAGGGGTACACCAATAGCATCCGTAGCATACATCATATCATGTTTATTTGATGTATGAACAAACCTGACGATATAATTACAAAACATTCTATCTTATTTTTATTAAAGAAATAATTTTGTAGAAAAAAAACGACGCACACAATATAAATTAATGAGATATATGTACATAAATTCTACTGATTTTCATCATTCTGTCAATTTCTGTTGAATAATTATCGTATTTCTTGATGTGGGGAGTAAACAAAATATATATAAACTTTAACTACATGTATTAAAACCTGAGAAGAATGAATTTGTGTTTGCATTGCTAATACGTTTAGAGAACAAATGTTTTGAAACTTGAATAGTCATAAGTTTATTGCATTCTTTCGATATATTGTACCCGTTTTGATTTGCATAAGTCATAAGTAATGAATTTGAAAAAGGTTATATACAAATGGTTTTCGTCATGACATATATGACTCGCTTTATTTGGTATTTTTGACAGTGGAATAGCTATCTGGTGAACATTTCTTAGGATATCATATAAAATGCCGTGTTCATTAACTGAATATTAAAAATACAACATAAAATTAAACACACCAGTTAACAGCGTCGAGTGTCTGATTGTCATTAGATAATTACATTAACTTTATGTTGCGTGCCATTTAATTTGATTGATAAATGAATTGTAACGAGTAGATATTATATTACTTTTCATTACCGCGAATATTAAGAGACATGTTTACTATGCGCAAGAGATAAGGTTGTCAAGGAATTTGATATTCCCTAATTAAAAAGCGGTTTCTGAACGGTCTACATCCTTTAACTCTGGCAGAATGAACGAGCATTATATGATAATTTAATAAATTACGCTACCAATAAATACTTAATTTGATAATGATTGAAATCTGATCAATCAATTTAACAACGCTAGCACTACATGTCTGCAAATCGATTTGCCGTTTTTCTTTTGACGATAGATCAATGTCTACGCAAATAAGGCGAAGTTTATAGGGATTCGGCTTGTAAGTCGAAGCAGTGGAAAGTTCAAAAAGAAGATAGTTTGCTTTGTTTCAAATTAAGAAATAAAAACATAACAAGGGTTCTAGTTTTAGTGTATTTGTGTTATTATACGTTTATACAATTTATACTACGAAAGAAATGTTTGGTTACATGCATCAATGAATTTAAGTGATAAAATCACTGACAAAGAAATTGCCTTTAGAATGTATGATATGATAGCAGTATTGAAACTGTAAGTGAAAATAAAGACGAATGTACACATAATAGAATATTGCTTTTTGAATTACACAGGTAAAGTTAGTTTTGTTGGACAGCATTTGTTAAGGTTTCGTTGTCGGGCATGTCTTTTCCCTCTCATAATCATGACTATAACAGTCTTCAGCAAAGTGAAGTTCAATGAGTTCTTGAACCATGGTTAAAAATGATGGTTTTTATTGTGTCTTATAGCTCGTGTGTATATATTTTTTTATATTTTTTGAATAGAAACTAACTTTTAATTAGGGTAATCAGCTACGTTTTATGATCATCTCCTACCATATCATGCACGTACAGTTGTCTACGAGCTACTTGTTTGTTTTTCATGTTGATAACCATACATTTCATCAATCATCACTGATACACTGTTAATCTTTTGTTCTTTTAGGTCATTTTGTGATTTTCTGTTTTTCTTCTGCTCTTTCAGGTACTTTTGTCGTTTCGGACTGGGTTTGCTAGAAGAAAATAGAAAAGCATATTTATAAGATGTTTTTTTTTTATAATGATTACAGTATTCTGGTCATTTTAATATGAAGTCATGTACATTAGCTTTGCTGAACTAATGCGTACTTACCATTACTAAAACAGAAAAAGAAACAGAAAATAAAAAGCCAGATTTGCATCAACTGTTAACACAAAGATCGACAATATAAGAATAAATATTATGTTACATTTAAATAAATCAAATCTTACCAAATATAAATTATATTATAAATAAGTATGACGGCTAGAATCACTATTGTGCTACCCAATACTCCACATATGGTATAAAGTTTTGTATGAAACGCTGAAAATAAAAGACAAGAAACTCGTGTTTAACAAAACTATTTTGAAATATGATGATGAACAATTTTTGAAACAATTCACACTTCACCTGATTTAACCGGAAGTGATAAATTTTTGTGACCAGTAATGGTCATGGCCAGTCTGCCCGTGTTCAAAACTGATAGCGGACAGATAATATGTTGTATAATATGATAATAATGCTTTCTTTATTCTCTAGTCACCTTGGTTAAACTCAGTATAGACTTGTTACTTAGATACCAGAGTTTACTAGCATAATAGAATGCTTTGAAATGTAAACGTTAGAATAAAACATATATACATGTATTGTCAATGTTGTTCTGGTGATAACTGACCATCGGCCATTCAGAATAACACATCACTTTTCATTTTGATATTTCCCAGTAAGCTAACGATAATGCAGCTTGATAAATAGTAAGTATATCTTGAGACGGTTGTAAGAAATTTGTTTATTGAAGGTCTTTCAAATTGGTAATAAAATAAAGAAATATATATTAAATAATTAAAGTCATACCATAAATATCATCTTGGTTTATTTGATTGTCTGCTACATCACAGAATTTGCCTTGCCATCCAGTTGGACAGCTGAAAAGTAAGAAATTATTGCACCGATGAATATGTGTTCACTCCTTCTGGTTATTAAATCATTTAGAAAACTATGTTGAACATTTAATGATGAATTAAATTAGTATTGTTATACAGTGATGTCTCCTTTGTCAGTTATTTTATCTACATTTCATTTTGTTACATTGAATGTGCACACATAATAAGATAATACAATGATAATAAGAGCATAACTACCTGCAGATATATCCATCTTCGTTATCTATAAGAATACATTTGGACCTTGCATCACATTTTGATAAAACACATGGGTTTTCTGTGAGAATCAAGAAATCGAGTAGTTGGAGTGATTAATTACCAAAACGAATATATTAAACAAAGTAAATGCATATGACTTTAATATGTGTGATATACCTAGTTTTTTCCAATGATGTTACTATGCCTTGAGTGATGATGTCTTTAACACATTTTCATTTACAAAGATTTAATGGGTGTTAAGCTGTATCTAACGAAAAAGTTTATACAATTGATTATATTAAAGAACGAAGTTAGAGTGTATCTTTTATTGAGCACCAATAAAATAAGAAATTGATTACATTCAAGAAAAATTGCAATTAAGAGTGTGTTCAATAATATATTGAGCACAAATAAAGTAACAAATTGTTATATTAAAGAACGAATTGTAACTTAGAATGTATCTATTATCTAGAACATTCAAATAAAATAAGCAAATAAGTAAATCAAGTATACAGTAACACAAATCGTTGGCAACAAATGACAATCATGATATTTTATGTAAAGTTGTGACTGTTTATCAATTATTTTGTGCATGCGTCATGCGCTCTTGAAAGAACAAGAAGAAAGAAAAACAACAATAAACAAACAAACTTACCTGAAATTGAACCATCGTCTTTCGCATTTATTTGAAAGCATAAACATGCTGTAAATAGTATTGTAAAATAAATACCAGATTCCCTCATTTTGGAAAGATTCCCTTTTGTATTTGTTTTTGAATTACAATTTCTAATTCCGATCTGGAATTATAAATGTCCTCGTGTTAAAAATGTTTAATATAATATTTTGTTCATACGCACACACTGTTTTAATTGTTGAAACGAGTTTGCATCAACAAATATATTACCTACAATGACCATAAATTACCTACAAAACTAATATAAATGAGTTATATATCCATACATATCGTAATATATCGTCAAAATACTTTGTTTTTATTTTTATCAAGTTTTAAATCTATTTATACATTCAGCTTCAAAACAAAACGTCCATTGTTTTTGTTTCCCAATCAATTGTTTACCATGACATATTATTTATTTTTGTACCAGCGAACAATAATTCTTGCATAACAAAAACTTCATAACTGCGTTTCATTCTCCTTTATAGGACAAACTTTTGAGGTCATGATTACTTACAATACTTAAGCATATTGATAAGATAAAATAAGATAATGTGAAACGAGTTAAAAACTTTGGATGTTTTTGCCAATTTATGATTCATTTTGGCGTTCGAATGTATACAAATATTTTTTTCTTCATCTTCAAGTGGATAGGTTTACAATGGTCAAATTTTAAGTATTTTAAATATTTATGAAAACAAAAGAAATGGGTCACATATTGGCCCTCTAAATATTTATTCAGAAATGTATAGTATTATAAAATAATGTTTGAAAAAAATGTTGACAAAGATTAACATAATTCAGCATGAGCATTTAAATAACATGAGTAATAATATTATGTTCTACATCAATTATTATCTGCCATATAAATATATGTAATATCGGAACTTGTATCTCACAGATGCAAAGAACATTTATATATATATAATCATTTCGTGGTTTGTTCTAATACAAAATGCTTTCAACATGATTATTTATCGTATTTCAGACTTTACATTATAGATCAATTCACTTTAAAAAGTCAGTTCTTATATTCAATATTCATGCAACAATATCATAGATTAATTTTAAAATTCTTTAACATTCAACTGAACTTTGTTAAAAAACATCATGACATCTTTTATCTAGAAAGACGCTACATAAACCTACATTTAACTTAGGCAAACGATAAAAAAATATTGCAACGTGAATAAATAAAGTACTTTACATATTCCAAACGGCAGTTACAATCTATGCAGATTACTAAAGGGAGCTCAAAATAATTAAAAAAAAAACCCTTACCGCTTTAGTCATGCGGTAGACATATTGTAACAAATACTGCAAAACTAGTCATTAGCCGCAGAAAACATGTTAATTATTACTTGAATACTGAATCTTTTTACTTTTCTTAACATCAAGTTTGATGTTATGGAAAAATTTTGGCTTATCTGGAGGCATGCAACTTTAATTTTACAATGTATAATAGTTAAGTGGTATCCCACATAATACAACATCTTCGTTATCAGTGACATAAGCTGTCTATACAGGTTATTGTAAAAGTTTATCAGTTTGTTTGTTTATCAGTTAGTATAGCGTTTGAGATGGTACAATAATGGTATCTTAAAACGAACTGATATATAATAGTAGGTACATGTATATAGTACATTTAATACTTATGTTGATAGTATTAAGTACATGTGATTATATTTGCTTTACAGGGTTTCTTATTTAATTTACATCAAATGTTTAAAATACCTATGTTTATTTGCAACTGGTTAGAGTTGATTCCTTCAAACAGTTATTTATATGTTAAGTCACACTGGTATTATAACTAGCTTATTTTTCTTCTTCAGAATCCGTTTGGACGTTAATATAATTGCATCTTTTACTCATGTATAGATTAAAAAAAAGTGAAATTTTTCTGAATTGCTAAATGAACAAGGCAGCTTGGAGGACAGGCCAATCTCCTTCCACAGCGCGGACATGAATGTGTACTTCTGAGATTTAACCATCAATGACCTTGATGCCGTGCCATGCATATCAGAAACACATTTACTCATCACAAAAGTTTGTTTCCGTTAACGTTATTGACCAATTTTCTTACATAGTTAAAAAAGAAGATACCTTTGCACATCCTTTTATTTTGTTTGAATTGTTTGGTCAAGTTCGAAGTAACTATGGGTAATTTTAGACTTCCTCTTTTGACTATTTTCTTTACTGTATCATGCTAATATGGCATATTAGGCAAATATGCTGTTCCCTAGGCGTAAGCGACATGTTCTGTATACATTATAATACTTTGATTGTGACTCTGATGTATTATTTGTAAAGATTTTATGCTCTACAAACCATTCAGGTGAAAAAATCAATAATGCTGGTTACTCATGATATTGAACTTGGGATAGGCAACTGGTTTGTGCCCTCGGTAGGAATAGATGGTGATCATTTGTTCCAATATAAATACAATACATTCAGAAGTTAAAAAGTAATGAAGAAGACAAAAACTTGTTGACTTTAACATTTGACCTCTGTGTGTGACCTATACCTTGGGGTAGCGATCTGAATCGCTCAACGCATCAAGTCAATATAGTGACCATTTGTGCAAAATTATTTTGTACAACTTTCAGTAGTTTTTAATTTCATGAGCGGACGGGAAAATGTGGACTTAATAATTTTACCTTGACCTTGGTGGTTGCAACCTGGATGTACCTTGGAGGGGAGGCCAACAAGCTAGATGTTTCGCTCTGCAAATTGTGTCATAGCGGGGATTATTTGTGCCAAGTTACAAGTAATTTTGAAACTTTTATATCATCAATGAGTTACAGAGTGGACATGAAAGTGTTACGGGCTGACAGACGGAGTCCATCCCTATAATCCCCACTACGCTTTGCGGAAGCGGATTAAAAATGTGTAAAATTCTCTCTACTGATTACATGTTTAATTGATAAAGAAAATAACATTCATTATCAATCCAGGGGAGTTAACAAGGTCAATACTGAATACGGAAGCCTTTAGTTAGTTTGTGCTCTTGGATGAATTGATATAAGGTATATCATCCAGGGAATAACCCTATGACAGTTATATTCGTATAGAACATAAAAAGGTCTTGGGATTTTTCCATTGAAAGTATACAAGTAACATGCTTCAAACGTTTTCTTTGGTACTGCGTTGGTAGTCATACATGCTTCTGTAATGGTGTAATCCCTGGCGACATGTTTTCTGGACATTCCTTTCGTCAGAGGCAAACAAACATATTTATGATACAGGGACCTTATCGTGCAATAGATTCAAATCTTAAAGGGTAAAGAAAAATACCACATGAAAAAATGTTTCGTTGTAAGACATATCAATGCTATTACTTATTCTTAATTTCATAAGAAATGTAATTTCCAAAAAAATTAATATTAAACATTTCATTATTTTTTAATTGTATTTTTGTATCTTACTTATATCACCTGTCATATTTCAAGTTAGTTCACAAGTTGCCTGTTGATAACTATCCGCAAAACTCCTAAAACGAAATTTCGTAGATCATAACTTCAACGTACACAATTATCATTATGTTTTAATATGTTTAAGTTAACATGCACCGTTAATATAACATTATTGCCATTAGATGCCAGGAATTATGATATTTGAAAATAAAAGGTCCTTGCTAAATTATTTAACTTGCACGTAATACCAATATGAATATGCGTTGCATTTAAATTAACCGACTTCTAAAAAGGTACATTTTCTTTAAATATTGTAAAATATACAGAGGATAATTAATGAGTATAAGTTCTGTACTGAATTTATTGCACGATTTGAATACAATTTTACTATGCGAGCTTCTGGCGAGCATAATAATATTTTATTGAACGAGTGCAATAAATTCAGTAATGAACTTACACGAATTTAATATTCTATTTATCACATATCCAAAATAAAGACCGTTTAACGTGAAAAATGTCATTTTTGATTGACGCGCCTATAGAAGTATATCTTGTCAAGTATATCGCTAACATTTTAGATCGCTCAACGCATATCATGAAATATATACTTGTAAAGAATAAACTTATATTTAAACTTTATAAATAGTAAATTTTGTCAATATTTTGTTAGATTAAGAATTTCGTCCCATAGACTGCAAATAAAAGCAAGTCATTGGTCAGGATCGGCGACTTTACCAGTAAATGAAAGATTATATAACTTCTGTAACGTCTTAGAAGACGAGTATCATTTCATTATAGAATGCAAGTTATACGATAAACTTAGACATAAATATATATATTATCAAAATATTGGCGAAGGCCAAATATGTAAAAAATTTTTAGACTTGATGAATAACGAAAACCAGACGATTTTAAGAATGCTTGAAACTTTCATACACACTTCTTTAAAAAAAAACGTAACGAAATATTATATAGTAATTGTTAAATAACGTATATGTTTTACAATTATCTATCTAGATTGTTAATCATGTATAGTTTAAATTTAAAGAATTCTTGTCAATTTATCTTGCTGTATTTATATAATGGATATTAATGTGTACTGGGTTAAGGTGTCTTTCATATGTAGCACAATATTCTTATCACACAGAAATAGTACATTGGTGATGTAGTTTATCTTAATATAATGTTCAAACCAGTCATTCACCTTTATGTTTCGTTTCGTTGAAAGGTTGACTTTAAAACTGGAATGAGGTAACCTGAAATGTACTTCGAAATATGTCACAATTGGTAAGAGTGAATAAAGTTGAAGAAAACCTTCTCCAAAGTAAATTATTTTTGCAAGATATATTGTTATAAAGGAATAATTGTTGAATGTATAAACTGTTCGTCATAAAGTTTTGTATATGTATGCCTCATGGGCTTTTAAGCCGAATGGTTCTGAATGAAACAAACGTTAATACTTTGATTTTTTATGCATTAGTAAAAAAAAACTATTTAAAGTGTCGCGGGTGTTCATGAACTTGATATGTGGATTGTTTCATTTTAATATACTGATAACTAAGATGATAATTAAATACATGTATAAGTTAGAAGAGAGAGACAAACTACTTAAAACGTATTTATGCCCATATTTGTATCGTTTAGAATACTCTTCCATTCCTAAATATAGTAAATATTTCATGAGAAAATACTAATATAAATAAATTAAGATTTAAAATTGAACATAAGTAAAAACACACTAATAAATCTAGCAGTGATTTCTGCACAATACACGTACAATAGTGTAATGAACGAAGTAAGCTAGATAATTTATCTAAAGCGCATAAAAATATGGTTTAAAATTGCCGAAGTCTGGCGCGTCACAATGAAACCTGGAGCTGTGTTATTAAAATATAATAAACAATTTTAGAAGATGTATACAGTTGTCTTGTATGTTGATTTTCTCTAATTATGTATATTTGTAATGGCAAAATGCCATTTTAACGAAATCATTGATGAACCATTTTAAATTTACTTTATTCAAGGCATTGATTTATATTGACCTCAACGTTAGTATTTAGGAAATATTCCTAGAAAAAAATAACAAAAATGTTGGTTTTAAAAGAAGTCTTCCTTTGTTTTATCTGTGTTTCAAAGACGATTATTATTTTCAATTAATTTACATTTTCCCACCGCTGTTTACATGTAAAACTTTCAACTTAGCTTAAATTAGGGAAATGAAAATCATGAAAAACAAGATCATGTTTCAAAAAGGTGTTATCTGTCTTATATTGGTCATGGCTATACACATACACTGCAATCAACACGTTAAATAAAGCAAAGCATTTTATTGTATCTGTATCTTTTTCATTTTTATTCATTCTTACGTTGTTTTTTTACTTTGTTTTCAGTGTCTTTAGCTGTTTCTGTCTCTTTTTTCAAAAATATTTTGAGCGTTTATTTACGGTTTATATGTTGCTTGGTTGTGTAGGGATTGCCTTCATTGAACGCCGTTAATTCTTGTTGATCTTGTTGATCATATTTTATAATAGTTGAATGTTTTTTACAGACCTTTTTACATGTATATAGGGAACCAAGAAGGGTCCATTGTATCGGAAGAGGATTTACAAACGAGGTAGTCTTATGTGAACGAATGTTGGGACTTTGGACATTTCTTCCGAGCTGAAATCAGAAAGTCCGTTGTAAATGTGTTTCTGTTTTGTCTAATATCCAAATTTTACTCTCTTACCCTGTCGTCATTAAATGTAAAACACAGATAAAAATAGTCAATTTATTTGTACACATCTATACATGCCATACTTTATCTTCATCCTTAATATATCTCGGGTCACATACTCGACTCAGTAACATCTACATTTGAATGTGTTGTTAAATTTCTTTTACACACTTAATGTTCTTGAAATAAACTTTAAAAAAAGACTTTATTATGTTTTTGTTGCTATCAACCTTTAACATTTAAAGGTATGGAAGAGCTACGTTGCGTAAATATTACGTCTTATTTCGTTACTATGCGTTTTGTTACCATTTATTTCTTTTTGATGTTGTTGAAGGCAGAATGATATAATGTCTTTAATGCTGTTTGACAGTTATGATTTGATGAAAGTTACGGACTGTCACTTAAAAAGACTATTTTTGCAAAGCATCCAAATACACGGCTTTGTTATAAATATCCTGTAAAAAACGGCTCACTCTTATTTATTCATGCGTTTTGTCTCCGTAAATGTTACTTAAGTGTATATTTTTTGCATGAATTTGATTGTTATCATTTCAGCTCAAAAGGTTATAGTTTGTACAAATGTGCTGGGAAAATTAATGTTAAAGTTTAATTAAGGTAGTTTTACTGTAATGCTTTCCCGCGCCAAAAAGTCCGACGTTGGTAAATATCGGTTATTTTCGAAACGTTATTTTTTAAAAATCGTTGGCACTAGATTATTTATATCACCCGTCCTATACCGCTGCGTACTGAGTTTCGGCTATAAACGGTAAAAGCTATTGAAACCGAAGATCGTAAAAAAAACGTTCGAAAATGACCGATTCATTACGATATTCGCCGATGTTAGAAAAATGATTTGCAGGAAAAGTATTAGAATAAGAATAAACTACATAAATTGTCATAGTATCATTTATTTTGCATTTTGCAATTTATTACCAAGGTCAATGTAAATTTTTGACGTTTCATTTTCTTAAAACCATGTGAAAATGTATCCCCATTTAGTATATCCGGCATACATTTGTCATTGCGTGATCCGAATCATGTGATAACCCTTAGAGTGGTTACGTAACGGTCTTGGGCGGTGAATATTTATACTAGAATTTGAAGTGTTTTTATCAGCTGAGGTATCAGCTTTTAAGATACTGGCCTGTTTGATGAATGTTCAAAGTACAAGTCCATTTTACATTGAATTCAACTTACTGTTATTTCAATTATAATTTTAAATTGAATAAATCTCGTTATTCAGTTGTGCTCCCGAAAGCACATTGCACGTTGAACATTAAAAAGGTGCTTAGCCCTTTATCATTTAAATTGCAGTAAACAATTTATTATCTTAAAGCAACTTACGATGTATATACATGTATAACATGTTAAATGCTATACATTTTCTATCTTTAAGTTAATTAATTTAGTCAAAGTAAATTGCCAGATTTTACACCTTTTTCGTGTCAAATGCAACTATTTGACGGTTAATTATTGATAAAATGATCATTGTGTTAACACAAATATACAAACAACCACCAAATTTTCATTTGCTCGTTATCGAGCATATCTTTGAGAATTAGGTTATTCTACTACTTGACAATCCTAATCATTTATTTATCTTTACAAATGAATTAAGTACAACATTTTATATACAGAAATAGTCTATTGCATGAATTCATACACTATGCAACAACATTTTAACTTTCTTGATCATGTTTGACGAAAACTATTGAATAAATTGATTGAACGATATACTTCAGTTATACCATGATTGGACTAAAGTGTACAAGTTAACTGTACCATGACTATTTCTTTTAAGAGATTTATATTTGGGACTAAAGTTAAACTTTGTTTTTTAAAAAAGGACAAAACGATACGGAACTTTGAAGCCGATGGACCTCATGAAGTTCTTTAGAATGATTTTTCCATATGCATTTCTACTTGCCATTTTCATGCAGTGTAGCATACAAGCATCAAGTAGTTCATTAGGTAAGACCACATTTTATATATATTTCGTTTGACAACAAAACCAAAGGTTTACTTCATAAATTTGAGATAAACAGAAAGAGCTATATTGCGTTAATAAAATTGGTTTCATATCGACGCCCCGTTCTTATCATTGTGGTGCAATCGAAAGTGCAATTTCTGTTTGTATGAAGTAAACTCCGTCTTTGAGGCTTCCGCATGTCAACAGAAAATCAACAATAATTACTTCTTAGTAGCAGTCTTAATTTAACAGTATATATTGTCATTAAATAACGGATGTTATTTTTAACTAGTTTGATACTATAATACTCTTTTGTTCGATTGGCTTAGTACACCATGAAACTTTAATAACGGTATAAATTTGTTAGCACATCCGGATTAGATGGGGGAAAAATCTGCATATGTCTTACTTGATTAAAAACTATTAACATTTCTAAGTTTAACACTATGCCGGTACAGCTAATAAAAACCTTCTTCATATACAAACTTAAACAATTTTAAACAATATTTGATAATATTTACAACAATACTGTAACTGTTAAAAAGTTACTGAAACGGAATGTTTGGTTGTTAGGCAAAACATTTTTACAGACATAAAATGCAGCTGAGTGTAAAGTTATGTCTGAAAAAAAAACATCACTCATCAATCATTATTCCAATTTGCATTCTATGTTTATGTTTTATATATATTTCAAAAACAAAACTATTTTTGATGTAAGTTTTCTAGACGGATGTTTGTTCTCGCTTGTATGACGAAGCAATCTTAAATCAAAATCTCGTATAAGCTTAGAGACTGTTGGAAACATTTTAGAAATTGTTTTCCTGTATGGATAACGAGCATTTTAAGTTTCTTTTCCATCGAGATCAATCTAGCTGATCTGACTCGTTTATCATATGAAGTTTATCTTTCGCTTACATGATAAAAACGTGATTACAAGATACAGCCAGATAAAGATAAATATTCGTGTCTTTACAAATCTTGTGTTTACTTTAGAAGATAATGAGGTACATGAAAGAATCGTCTGGACCGGTGTACAGCTTCACCCGGCTATATGCAGGTGGTGACAATTTGTTTGTACACCAACTTTTTTCAAATTGATACCTTAATTGATTTTTAAAAAAAATCGCTTTATTGCTTGTGCAACTAAATTTTCTCGTAAAATATGTGAAATTTTGCGGTGTTATCCTGAATAATTTACATTTAATTATAGACTCATGTTGTTTTGTAAATCTCTCATTAGATATGATTACAAAAATGGGAAAACATGAACTGTAGAGTACAGTATTTCAAATTGTTATGAAAAAATGTTTTTTGTCAGTTGTAGCCTAATTCAATGTTACAATTTTACAATAAATCGTTATTTTGTAAACTCTTAAGTTACAAATAAAGTGCAAATTGTTAAATTCATATTAAAATTCGTCTTGTTGTTAACATACGATATTAATACGATTATAGATATATCGTAGTAATATTTCAATGATAAATTCTATACCATCTTAAATTTCAGTTCATACAGATAAAACCATATCTAATTCAATGTTAGGAATTCGACAATTAAACTAGGTTACACGATTTTCAAAAATTACTGATATAAGGTCACGTTACCTCAACAATCAGACATTCACATGATAACAGTTGATATCAGAGTCATATTAACTCGTATTTAGACAAAACTAGACATATTATAACTCGACACCGTTAAGAAGTAATATCTCACCCTTTTTAAAAATATTTGTATAATTTCGAAATGAGGAAATTGTGAAATTAGTGTATATTTCAAATCTAATGAAATGAAACTAGTTCTTTTCAAGCTTATGTATACATGTATCTCGATGTTTTAATGAATTAAAATCATAATAAGACTAAAACTCATAATATTTTAGCCTTTTTGTCCATCCCCAATACAAACCGTACCGTTGTAGCCAGTTAGCGGTAGATAATTTTATCAATTGATTATCTGATTGGTAGATTTTCTTCTCTTCAATTTTTATGTGTCGTTTTATTAAACTAAGTGTCCTTGATTGATCGGATGTGGTTAGTTAAAATGCTTTTATTTTTTTTAATTTGTTTGAGTAATAAATAAGACAAAATTATTAAATGAGTATTTTTCTTTATGTCTCTGAAGGACTCGGTTCACACAGGTTCAATATTTTATTTTTTCAGAAGGGTTTTAGTATTTAGTACATAAATGGCAATTCATTACAAATTCACCGCTTCTGTTTTCACTTGACACGCATATAATATGAAAAATAGGAGGGTCAATTGAAGCAGAAACCGCCATATGGATATCTGGATCAGGCATTCGGATACATCCAGATGTTCGGATTGTTGTTTGATAACGTAACCATTTTTGGCAACCTTTTCTTGTTAAAGTTACTTGACGTCGTTTTCCTTTATTTTAAATCAAATTGTATATACTTTTAGTTTTTTTCTATTATTTCTTCTAAACAGAAAGTGTGATTCATTCAGATAATTTGGTGCTTACCATTTCAAAAGAAATGAAAATGAAATTCATCGCCAATTTTCAAAAAAACTGTGTGCTATAATACATAAAAAACCGCACATACGTGAGGAAATTATAAAAAGTTGGCCTGCATTTTAAAGAACACAGAGGTATATATTTCTCAGAATTAATTACTCCACACTGTTTGAAAAAGCTTTCTCTAGATATGATCACAAGTATGTGAAAACATTGACTGAGGAGTACAGTATTATAAATTGTTATGAATGACTATTTGCCAGTTCTAAAACTAGACAACACATATAAAACCATATCGAATTGAATCTTAGGAATTCGAAAAAAATAAATTAGGGTACACGATTTTCAAAAAACAATATTGATTTAAGTGATCCTCAACTATTAGACATTGAAATGATAACAGTTCGTTTTTAGACAAGACTAGAGATATTTATAGCTTAATACCGGTCAGAAATAATAACCAACCTTTTACATTTTTAGAAAAATTGATGTCGACATTATGTAAACACTAATAATCTTTATAAATGAAACATGTTATTTTCCAGTGTATGCACAACTCGATGTTTTAATTGAAATCTTATTTAGATCAACACTCATCGATGTACTCTTTTATTGCTTTCCTCTTCAATAAAATCTGTACCAATGTAGCCAGTTTGCGACAAATAATTTTTCTTGTTGATTATCTGATATGCTCATTTTTTTCTATTTGTCGATTTATAAAAATAAATGATATTGTAACGTCAATCGGCTGCGATTATTTCACAATGCTTTTTCAAATTGCGTTTATTTTCTTTTTGGAATATCAACAAAATAAGAATACTGAAAAATAACCAGTTATACTGTTTGTTGTCATTTATGACATGCAGAGGTTCAACAATATTGACTCTTAGAAAAATAAATTAAAATAAAATAAACATTTTCTTAAAGTTTAACTGTAGATTTTAAAGTAGATTTATATATAAAATTTGTATTTTAGAAAAAAACTAGCTATTTAATCATGCTATAGGGAAATATTTTTATGCAGTTATAAAACTTTTAGCATCAACTTATCTGTGAAAAGATCGGCGCAAAAACTCATATAAATATACCTACTGAAGTTTTTGCACCAACAAATTCTGAAGGTGCACTAACGTTGTTTTTGGATTTATGCCAAAAAGTCATTTCTTGTCAAAATTCAGTTTCTAAACTTTAGAGACTAGTGCAACTTTGTATTTCTAACCAAATAATGACAAAAGTGATTTTCTCAAAAAAAATGTCAGTTACATGACTTTTTGCTCGAAGGTGACGAAGTGTTATTGAGATTTTATTTATCTTTTGTTTACACAGACAAATGCCTTTTATAGACTCATTGATGCCCAACTTTTCCGGTTTTATTTTCCAAAAGGAATTCATTTCTAATTCACCGCTTCTGTTTTATTGTTAAAATAATCGGCTTTTAAGTGATGCACAACTATATATTGGGAGATGTTAAGACTAAATAGCACGCCCAACCAATTCCAAATAGGTCCTTACGTCTGAAACCTAGAATTCATACAATCCATCAGAGCAGAACAAAATCTCAGTCCATAAAAAATGTCCTGTCCGTTATCTAAGGAAATGTTAGTTGTGTCCTTTATAATGCATTTGAAAAGGGAAGTAAATGGTTTTTAATGCAACCTACTAACCACAGGTTGATATCTTATGAGATTTATTTTCCTGGTAATAAGTCCGTTTTTTGTGTGTTTTTGTGTTGTTTTTTTTATTTGATGAATAAAAACAGTTCTTTTTACGTCATTGTTTTATATTAAATGAAGATTCATAAAATCGTTCTTAAACCCCTGTCACACTAGGACGGCGTTCTCACGGCGTCCAAAGAAAATTCAGAACGCCGAGGTGAGCGCAGTAAGATCGCAAACATCGCTACAGCATCGCCGTAGCATCGTAGTGGCATTGCATAGAACGCCGACCAACGGCGCGCATTTTGAACATGCTCAAAACAAACGCCGTCGCTCGGCGTTCTAAAATGAGCGCAGTAGCATCGCAGTAAGGACGCCGTAGCAACTCAGTAGCATCTCCTACAACGCAACAGGAGCGCTGCAAAAGCGCAAAAGGAACGCCGAATGAACGCCGTGGTTATCCACGGCGCTTGTACGGAGACTGTGTGACGTCTTTACCGCGCTTAAACTGCGTGTGTACGGTGCTTTCACGGAGCTTTACGATTTAAACGCAGTGTGAGCGCCGCGAGAGCGTCGTATGAGCGCCGTAAATGCGCAGTGAAAGCGCAAAGAACGCCATAGAAGCGCAGTCCGAACGTAGACAATCGCCAACTAAAACGCCATCGAAGCTCCGTAGCATCGCCATGATCGCCGTTAGCACGCCGTGAAGACGCCGTGCTGTCTTCATGACATCAACAATATGAAATTTTTTATTGCGACCTCGCGGCGCTTTGTTAAATTTAACAACGCCGTGCGAACGCAGTGAAATCGCATTCTAGTGTGACAGGGCCTTACCGATCACAGATTCGTGTTTCGTTTAGAAGCTTCTACGTTGTGGACACATGCAGTTTATGTATGTTTTATTCTGAACAGAGATAATTAAAGAACAATTCAAAACTATCAGAGAACAGATTAGAAAAATATGATAAACAAAATCAACAAGGAAAGGCGGCGTTCAATGAACGCCCAACGACCCAGTAACAAGAATCAGTAGCAAGAGCCCAGGAGGACCGTCTAAAAATTATATGTTCAAATTTTATATAGTAATTAATAAAATGATTTAAAGTTACGATAATAAACATTTTTGAAAACATTTTATCTTTTTTATTTTGTTATTGTATAGAAGAAAAGAAAATTTCCTGCAATGCGTTGTGCTAAAAACATTTTAAAGTTTGTGATATGAAATGTGCAATTTGTAAAACATGTAAAACATGTGTTACTGGGTTTTGATTCGTGTTTTATTTCTTTTTGTCCTTGTTTAGCTTATCAACCTAACTGATAATGTAAAGGTTATATGTTGCGTACAAATATCGTGGCTCGCAATCCCTAGTGTTGTGAATAACGGATAAGAGCATCCGTATGATCAAGTGCATTTTTATGATTAATTTTGAATTTTCAAGACATTTCTCCTTTTAACATATTATTAAATAATGAGAAAGGTGTATGCTTATGAAGTATAATATCAGAAATTTAAAGTTTTGAGGCAAACCCTATTAATAACTTAACTTGACAAAACTGTTCAAGACTGAACTTGAAATTAAAAAAAAAACACACAATTTAAGTGGATACTTCACAGAAATTAAGGTTTTGGACACTAAACACAAGGAATGGTTTTGGAAGTGTTAGTGTTTATTTTGGCGGCGTTTGGTACAGTAACAAAAAACTACGGTATGCTATTTTTTGGAATCCAATAATCATTTTAGAAATACATGTGTTTACATTTTATTATATTATTTTTTACTCTTTGAAAAATCATAAATTTAAATTTCTGATAGGTTTTTAACTTACAATTTTCACTTTATTGGAATGGTCATTTTGTTGTCCATGGATGTCACGTGTTTCTTTGTAGAACATGTAAAAATGTTGTGTATTAAGTGTCTTTGACATTCACATATACAAAATTATTCTAAGTACCATTTGTCTGATCCCCCTAATTACTTTTATAATGTCTTACTTAACAGATATCGTAAGCTTTTTGCCACTGCATATAAATCAAGATAAATAGAAAAGAAATGGAAAACAATTATGTTATGAAAACAATTTTCATAATAAAATGTTAGCCCATAAGTCAAATTATATATTGTTTTGTTGTTAGTTGTTCTCACTCTTTTCATTCATCAAAATATTTAGCAAATAAAAAATAATCCACTCTTAAATTGTATAACTTAAATTTTAAATTAAATACACGATTCGGAAGTATTTTTTTATACGATATCAGTTTATATGCGTGATAAGGTTTGTTGTATGTGTATTATATCTCACGTCATTAAGTCAAGAATGAATTGAAAGTGGAACCAATCAGCAATTTTATCGTTTCATTATATTAAATACCTTCAAATTATTGTGTGCTAAAATATTCTTACATTCATCCAGACTTTGTAAAGATTTGAATTTAACTCGTTTTAAAACAGATAAGTGTCAAAGAAAATGGCTGATATCTGTTTGAACAGTACGGCGCTAGAATCAAGCATAATAATAAGGAAGGGGTATCAGTGGATAAGGTTTTTGCGTGAGGGTTGAGTCCTGCTAGGGCCTGATGTATGAATAGTTAAGCCTGTTTTGGATAAAGAGAGAACTGAAGAATTAAGGAGAATTTGAGGTATTGGAGAATTGGAGAATTGAAGAAATAAGTTTCACGCCTATGCCATAATGCAATCTAAATAAAAATGTTTAAACTAAATATTTATAATGTAAAGTTTTTTTTATGAAAAATGTTTTTGTCCAGAAAAGTGCGATTAATGAAAATGCTGGGAGACAGTTTTACAATTCATGTTAGACAACCTTCATTTGCAAAATGATAACTTTCATGTAAGGTCATAATTAGACTCGATTATATGGTTACCAATGTTATATCCACCCAAATTGTCTGTTTATCTACATAAGGAAGACATCCTGTGCGCTGACTTTATCAATGATTAAATGTGAATATTTCAAAATAATCAGTTCATTATCAAATATATATTAGATTCTTTTAATGATTTTAAACGTCCACAATGCGATATCATTTTATGATTAACAGTATGTGTGATAACTTAAGATTCAATAATATATGTAGCAATAGTTAAGTTTAAATGTTGAATAAATGAATAATTAAAAAAATAAATAAATTGATTATTTATTTATTTATTTACTTACTCATTCATTCATTAATTCATTCATTTATTCATTCATTGATTGATTCATTGATTCATTGATTGTTTCATTCTTTTGTTTATTTATTTATTTATTTTATTCTGCACAAAATTTACTTGATAAGGAAGACATCTTGTGCGCTGACTTTATCAATGATTAGATTTGAATATTTCAAAATAATCAGTTCATTATCAAATACATATTAGATTCTTTTAATGATTTTAAACGTCCGCAATGCGATATCATTTTGTAATTAACAGTATGTGTGATAGTAAGATTCAATCATATATGTATCTATAGACGTTTAAATGTTGAATAAATAAATGATTTAATAAATAAATAAATTGTTTATTTATTTACTCATTCATTCATTTATTTATTTACTCATTTATTTATTTATTTATTTATTTGTTTATTTATTTATGTAATTTATTATCGGCTTAAATGATATAATTCTGTTATTCACAATAAATGAAAGAACTTAAAATTTATTCTAGTAATATGTCAAATTATGGAAGCAAATCTAATCGGCACTAACCAAAATCACGAGGAAGTTAAAAGAAATAAGGCAATATCACATCATATGCGGAAGAAGAATAGACGAGATTTTGTTTCTAGACATTGAAATCACAAATATCTTAAGTGTTTAAGGAAATACTTATTACAATTAAAATGTAACATGCACAAACATTGCAAAAATACGAATATAAATGAATTCACAAACAGATTTTATTCTGCACAAAATTTACTTAATGTCATACAATGTGTGTAAATAATGGCAAGAAAATGAGAATAGTCTTAAATACCACTCTTGGTTCAAAATGTATATTTCTTTCGTGAGTTCTATAAATTTCAAATCATCCGTATCTTTCTCTTTTCCTCGTTCTCTCTTCCCCTCTCCGATCCCCTACCTCTCTCTTCCCCTCCCTCTCTCCCATCTATCTCTTCTCCTCCGCGCCCCTCTCTTCTCTCACTTCACCTCCTGATCCCCTCTCTCCTCCTCTATCTTTTTTCCTCTCCCACCCTCTCTCCCCCTCTCTCTGTTCCCCCCACTATGTCTCTGTCTCTGTCTGTCTTTCCCTCTCGCTCTCTCGTTCTTTCTTTTAAGATTTTTTTACGTGTATTGGAATAGTGGCAGGAATCTAGGATCTTTTGTACCATAGTTGTTTAACAGATTGAATATACGTTTTGATTTTCTTGACGAATTTTGATAATTTGAATAAATGAGAAATCATTAGCATTTAAAATTGGGAAAACCCAGTCAGCGTTGAAAAGACATTCGTTATCATTGCCGGAGCGATTCTTCTTAGATTTGCACAGTTAAGTTTTGTACAAATTTATCTGAGGTCAAATTTGTTGAAAGCTATAAGTTTATTGAAACACTCTTGAATCTGTTCCTGGAACCATCTAGTACTAAGCAATTTGTGTCATGTTTCTTGCCCAAGAAGACAACGGCTTGTCTGTGACAAGGTTTGAGCCCACGCGACCAGCAAGTTTTAGGTCACTAGTCCGACTATCCGTTAGTTCATGTGACATGTTTTGTTATTAATTAGAATCTTTTATATAATTTAGTTGAATGGCAGTACGTGATAGATGATAACAATACTTAGAGCTTAGAAAATCACTATAATGCAAAATAATACAATAAACCATTACATAGGACCAAGACGACAATTATATAAGATAAGTTAATAAGAAGAAAATTAAAATAAATCTGTCATTTCATATTTCACGAAGAATTTAAAGTGACAGTTTGTCTATTTAGATGTAAATGGTTGATGTTCAGCTAACATTTAATAACTTTACATTTCGTCTTATTTGTTTTCAGTTTCATAATAAATGTCACATGAGTAATCAATTATGTTTGTGATGAGTACACAATTTATTTATCATGTTCAGTTTACTAAAAAAGCATGACGTTTCATTCTGGAAATATTAATTGAGCCGTGTGACCTTTATGGTAATTTTGTTGTTGGGATTTTAAGTCACATTTATCTGTTTAATTTCGCATGGCGTCTTCCCAGTTTTGCTGATGGAGGAGGCCGTTACTTTCCCATCGCGCCTTATTGCAATCAAGAAAGTGTTCCTAAGAACACAATAGAGAAAAATAGAATCCTGAAGGACGAACAACATTACAAAATTGACAATGTTGCAGGCTTGGTTTAATTGAGCCTGTTCATTGTTAAGACAAGTACCACAATCTAGCATGGCAGCTTCTATCATTAAATAATTATTGTTTCACTAGAGTGTAGAACATTTAGATAATTAATATTCTTTCAAACTCTAACATGTCAATATGTTGTTTATCAACAGTTCAGATTTTATGTTTCAAACCATAATTAATATTTCTTGCATGTTTCTATTTGTACAGCTTTCGATGAAAATACAGTTTCATGTCAAGGTTTTACTGCTGATAAAGTAATCCGAGATCTCATCTCTTCTGGCCATACAACAGCAGAACCATGTCCCTGCATAGAACAAATTATTGAGATTGATGAAACGTTTGAAAAGATCAATAACTGCTATAAGCAGTGGTTCTTCATGGACGGTGTGAAGCAAATGTGCTGCTATAGGTAAGTTATGTTATCGAGCATATTTGCAAAACAAAAATGAACAATTAATATTTAAAAAAAGTATTGTGTTAGGGCTATTTATGATCCAATTTCTGTTATTGAATTTAATAATTGCATGTGAAGGTACATGTCAGAGATTTGTATTTAGAATATATCTATTCTGATACATTTAAAAATGTAAGAAATGTAAAATGGTTCAGTTTTGATATATGTAAGCATTTATAACAAGACCAACAAGACAAGTGCCATATTGCAAACATCCGTTTATACACAGCCATATAGCATATATAGCATGTCGAACATTTTTATTGATCAACTGACAATAAAAGAATTGATACTTTTTAATGAAAGGGTGACAATAACTTCGATAATTTCGATCGACTGCAGACGTGATGAATATGCTATATAAATATCACTCTTATTCATGAAAACTGAAGTTAAGAACATGCAGTAATTTAGCCTTTTCCTTGTCTGTTTGTTTGATTGAAATTTACGTCACAACGACACAGTAAAGGTCATATAGCGACGTTACAGCTTTACTTAAATGATGGAGGAAGACCTCAGGCACGAACGGGCACCTGAGTAGAACCACCGACGTTCTGTAAGCTAGCTGGGTAGTTTCCTTACATGAATGAGTACAAAGTCCCATTCGGGATTCAAACCCATTGCGGCGAGGAGCATGTGGTTTGAAGTCTACAACTTTAACCACTCGACCACAGACGCCCCTAACCTTTGCCTTACAAAAGAACCGATTGATGTGAAATCAAATTCTGACAGATATTCTACAACCAATTCAAAAATAATTATTTGTTAACGTTGTTAAATATTTTTATAATGGTAAGTTACGAAAATCATGTCACATTGAAATTTTTTTTCATATTTAACTAATTTTTAGTGAATATGGTCAGCTTTTACTTGATAGTCCCGGGGCAGGATATCTTCTTCTAGAATCTTATGAAGGGTACATTGAACAAGCTCACGATATTTGTTGTGGTAATGGATCAGATGGATTTAAAGAATCTTGTGAATCATTCTATCAAATAAATAAACCTGATGATTGTAGTACATACGTGCCGCCAGTTGTGTGTAAGTTTTCTTTCTGTAAAATAACGAGCTCAAAATGATATTGTTTTAAAAACATTTTACTTTCTGAAGATTGGAAATGAATGCTTGAAAAGGTAATTGTTCTTTAAATTACTTTTATCAAAATAGATTTGTAATTGTTCCTTTGTAATACGTTTATTTATAAGTACTAAGTTTAATTGTAAGATATTACTTACACTGTTTGATTAGGAAACATATATCAATTCTGAGTGCATTGTTGTAGAATAATGCACGGTTTGAGTTCAAATGCGTAGTAATATAATCACGAAGGCCGATAGGCCTGAGTGATTAATTACAACGCATTTGAACGAAAAACGTGCATTATCATACAATAATGCACGAAGAATTAATATCTATTTCCATTCTAACACGTCAAGAAAAAGTATAGTTATTATTATAAAGTTGGACTTTATGTTTGGTGGTTAAATTTGTTTTCGCCTCAGAGTTTCCAATAGAAACGTTCTTTAAAGGCTGTTCCAGTGGGTTGAAAAAACTGTCGTTAAATCTACTGTGTGTAGAAACATTTTGAGAATAACGAATTTTGAAAACGTTGATAAAACTTTGTTTGTTCATTTTATTTCACTCTATAATTTTTCAAGCGAAATACAAATTATTAAAAGTGAAATAAATGTTAAACCTAACTTGTCTGCGATATTAAAATAACGTACTTGATTTGATTGTTTTGCACGTGCTGTTTGGCGCTACATTGTGACGTCACGTAAACCACACTTTAAACGTCTGTACAGCGTTTACGACTGCATTAAAGATATTGGTGTTCGGATTCATTTTCTTAGTTAGACCATTTTCTATCATTCTAGATAGTTTTCACAACAAAATTCGACAAAAATTGTTTTTATTTATCAGATTTTTAAACAAAATGGCGCCCTCAATGTGAAAATATACAGGGAGATAATAAGAACGGCGAGTGCATTGTTGTAGAATAATGCACGCTTCCGGCCTTCTTTGTCTATATAGGAAAATTTCCGATAGTGTTAGAATAATAATTTGATAAATAAGTGAAATGTGCAAAAGAATTATAACACGTAAACTATATATTCCCGATATTGACTGCTGTGGTATCAAATATGTTGTCCAATATTGCTGAGTTTACCAAACCGTCGTAATGTAAGGTGAATAGTAAAAGCAATTAATCAATTAACAGCAGTAAAATCTGGATAGAGTCTGTAAAGATTTTCTAATTTGGATGTAGAATATTGTCATTATTGCGATTCCTTAATAGAATTTGGTCTTCAATTTGTTGTTCATAAAACGACAACGTTGAACGCAATTAATTACTCGTAGATATTTGTGTTCAAAACTGTAATATTCGAATAGTTATGTTATTATACTTCTGACATAGGATTATAAGTCTTTAAACGTTCACGAATGAGAATTGCAGAGTTAAACGACCGCTTGCCAATATAAACCAATTTATTTCATTTTGTTAATCATCTTTTGATAGCAATGTCATCAGGAGATCCTGTCATACAAACAATAGATGGAGGAAAATATGATTTTAATGGTCATGGTGAATATGTTTTTCTGACAGATGAAATGTAAGTGGTTTCAATTATTTAGAGCTACTTAGTAAAAGTAAATATAAGGACATACATTATTATTTGCTTGCGTGTATTAATAAAAAATCTATGATTGTATAACATACAGTACATATTTATGTTTAATTAAATTGGTAAAAAGGGAGACACAGGCAATATTTTCATTTATTCGTTTTGATTTTTTCATTCATTATTTTGTAAATGTTCTCAAAAGAAATACACTAGGCAGTCATAGGAAAATAGCTTTTCTCCTTATATAGATCGTAATGGTGGTTACCCAACTTGACCAACGTCGGTCAGGTTAGAGCGTTAAGATTTCACAAAAGTTGTCACAGTGAGCTCTGGAAACGTTACAGAACATGTCAAATGAATGACTTAGACTTGATTCAATCATACAATATATACTTTATAAGTTATTGAAACTTTCCAGGGTTTGTTCAAGTCGCATGACTTGTTTTAAAACTACTCGGGGATTCTGTTGGCGTCTAAATTTCGTTCGTAATATATAGATATATTTACGCTGAAAACACAAAATATATAGAATTGAACAGACATTCCTGCTGGGACTTTAATAAATATCATTATGCGTAATTTGTGGACATAGGATGATTTTAATATTTGGTTATTAATTTGTCTGAGTATCCCTGTATCTAATAGCTACTAAACGTCTTCAACTTATCTTTATTGGAATTATCAGGACATTCAGGTAGAGAATTACTGTGAATCCTAGATTAACCTAATAACCTGTACTCTTTTTTTTGTGTTTTCTTTGCTTTATTATTATAGACAGTGTTATAGACATATACACAGTATTATAGACAGTTTATAGAAACGATTTATGAGGTTTAATTAGATAGTATTTAACAACATTAAATTAACGATTTTATGTACATTTTTATCACAAATGTATATGGTTTACCAGCATTTAATAGATTTGTATCAAGTATTCTATCGACATTGATCTTATGAAGCAGTATAGAAAATGTCTTTTAAACAATACATGTATAAGAATATAGAATTAACCCAAGTGTAATGTTACATCTGCCTACTTCAGAAACTTTGAAATACAAGCTCGAACAGAGTATGTCGTGTCGGGAAGCATTGATTCGACATATTTTTCTGCCTTTGCATTGTGTGTAAGTATAATTTTGACTTTTTATCAAAGCCATTTATTTTATAAAAGGCCCATTTTTATTATGAAACTTATATTGATTTGTACATGTGCTCAATAATTATGCATACAGATAGAGGATACATTGAATTAAGATATAATACAATATATTGCTTTTGTATGGCATGCTCACGCCGTTTATCTTGCATTTAAAATACCAATTTATGGCAAATTATAAATTTTTAGCGATATCTATACATATCCAACTTTCAAATCTCAACCATTTTATATTATTTTTTGTGCTAACCTTTCTAAATAATTCTAGAACATATCATATGGTAAAACATTTGTTTGCATTTGAAATGCATTGTTTTTAAAAGACTGTAAAATTATGTATGGTGCACATTTCTTTTTTCTTGAAGATGAAACAAAAATGTTATAGTTTTACATGCAAACTTCGGTGAAGACTTACATAGTCAAGATTGTGTGAGATTAAGAAGCATTTACAAAATAAATATGTATATTGTATGTCTATATTTAGGATAAAACGTAAGATTAGCGAAACAAGAACGTATATTTGGGCTTGTAATTTTACGTTTTCATTTATTTATATTTCTTTTAGGATAAAACGTCAGATGAGCAAATAGAGCTCCATTATGATAAGGAAAAAAGTGATATCAGATTTTTTCGGAATGGTACATATAACAGCAGCTGTAACGCATCATCAATGTCAAAACAAGGACAACTTAATGATTGTGAATTTCCTAAAAGACATAATTGTTTTGTGTTAGCTGGTGGTGGAAAAATGATTATACAAAACTGTGGTTTCAAATCTTATATCAAACAGGTATTTGCATGAAGGTGATATTTCAAAAAAAATATATTTCATCTTTTTTTAATTGTACACTCCTCCATAATAATAAAGGTAGAAGGTATTGTTAGATTTTAAAATAAGCATATTGAAAAAAAAATAAAGTAAAAATCAATTTGTTTTAAAACGTCTGAAATTAAGCTTTTTTACTAAAAATTAAGCTGATTTGCAGGTTTTGTTTATAGCACCAAAGAAAAGTATAAAGATAATAATGAAGGTAGTTGTTTGATGGGTATAATGACTACATTTCAGCCTACACATTTTCGGGTTGACTTATCTGTGATCATGCCTACTTAATTAACATCATACTAGCTAGTTCCAGATTTTTGGGTTTCGTTTTAATATTCCAAAAAAATAGTTGTTCAAATACATTTTAATAAATAAAACTTGTCTAGTATTGGAGTTTTACCGAAACATTTTTAGTTGTGTTTTATTTCCATTTCTGTATTTCAACTGTAGCTGGTGTTTGGGGCTGACAATTTTATGAGTGTACAGATCATCAGAGACTCTAAGGCAAATTTAACAAACATTACAGGCCTAGCAGGACATCGGGAGGATGGTTTCTACATTACGAGAAACAATACAGAAGTTTCCGAAAATTCATCTTCATTATCAGTGTTCAAATTTGCAGAATCCTGTACGTTGTTCCGATTCTCTTGATTTATAAACATTTTGATTTACATGAATTATATATCTCTAAATGTTATAAACACTTTACAATACAACATTTTAATATCTATATTTCAAAAAAAAATATTAAAGAACTACAATTTCATTGTTATATAGGATTTAAAAAAACAAGCTTGCATGTTTATATATTTCACTACATGTAAACCAAGAGAATCAAATAGTGGATATTGTGACTTGATTTGGTTTTCATGTTGATTATACAGGAGGTGATAAAGGGGAGCATGAAATATCACTTTTTCATTATAAGCATAAAGGTTAATGTGCCAGATAAATTTCGACGAATATTGACAGAACATTCAAAGGACCATGTCAGCTTTTTATAGTTAATGCGAATTGAGTTATAAATTTGAATGTAATTATGGCAAAATGTATTCGCATTTCGATATGCACCTGTTCACTCACTAAATATCGTTGAATGTCATAATGCTCTTTAGGGTTATTAATTATAGTGTTAAGCTGCTTACGAAACACAGATATATATCTTCCGACCTTAAAGCACACTATAGACAATGATTTATATCAGCTATAAATAAGTTGAACTTAATAAAATTAAGATCGACGTACCATATCGTATTATAACGTTTTTCATACTGCGTCGTCCTTTTGTCAAATTTTGATTTTCTATATCATTTCATGAACTGCCAACATTTTATAGATCCACTACCTCCAAGTGTAGCCTCTTAGTCCGAATATGCACTTTTCCGAGTGTTACAAAATCATGTGTGACATAAACGCGCGTTACAGCACATGCTTTAATGAAGTCTTTGACAGGGAGTCATATTTATGGTTGCGCGACCACCACCCCACCGACAATAAAAAAAGACACGATTGAAGTTGTTACCTAGTATAAGTGTCACCTGGTTGCATAACTTTGCCACTTTTCATACCTTTCATCTTAAGCTTTACAAAAAATGTTAAAAATTCTGGAAACAAAGTGAACCCTCGGAAGCATTAATCACAACAAAATAACATAAGAATTGCAGACTCGGTTAACACTTTGGCAGGAAATAACGTGACAAACATGTACTCAGGAAAACATGTTTGAAATTATGTTTCTTATTATTATTATTTATTAATTATTATTCTTAATTTGAATCTGTTGAGTTCGTACATAGACAAGTTGGCCAAAGCCTAATTATGACAAAGTGTTTTTTTAGGACTTTTTATCTCCTAAAGAGCCCTTATAAAATTCAAATTAGGACTTTCACTGAAAATGATATTGATCTTGCAAAAGCACGTTATCGCTGAAGTTCATACAACATGTAATGAGTAATCATGTAGATGATACACGATCGAAGCAGAAATTAAAACACTCAACATAAAACAATGTATCATGGATTTGACATAATATAGACATTAATTGTTTTATAACCTTCTTATTAAATGATATTTTGTACGAAATTCATACAGTATCTGTTCAAAATATCATGACAATATATAATATATAATATTGTGACATATTCAAGGTAGCAAGATTTCAATATCACGATGTGTCTAGTACCTAATGTTGGGTTGTTAAGAAATAAAATGCATTGCACAAGTAAAACGTTAAAAATACTGTTGAATAAGACAGATAGCAGAGGATAATACAATTGGTTTCCATCAGTGCAGTGTGTGTGTATAATTGCATCAGTTCTGCCCTATTTTTCTCTTTAACAACAAGGGTATATGGGAAAAGCCAAAAGGACGCTTTTACAATTTTACAACCTTAACGCAGTATAGATCCTAACAAAACAGAGATCAATCTATACATCGCTAGAAATTATGAGTATCATGTATTGTGTAGAGTATAATTGTCATAAATGAAACCACATTCTTTTCTTGTTTCATTGTTTTTATTTATTTCTAGGGTCATTACAGAATGAGTCGGAGAGTGTTTTCATGTATAATGAGACTTGCGAAAATTTTACAACTTATAACAATTATCATACACGTCCAGAGTTCCTTGAAGACAAACTTGGCAACCTAACAGTATTGTTCGAAAGCTTTCCACCAGATAATATTACACTTTTTAACAAAACTTGTAGAAATTATTGGAACAAGGAACCCAATAACCAGTGCCTTCTCGCCATTGCAAGAACAGGGAATTATAATCTAGGATTAGATGTAATGACAGAGGCAAATGCAACACGTCACAATTGGGACATTCTTCGTAATATGATTTTTATCAATCAATTATCTTCTAAACATTGAAAGTTTTAATTTGCATACGTAAAGAGAGCTTTTAAGTGATACATGTATATGATAATTTTGTAATAATGGCTTCATTTTATTTTTTCGAATTTTTAAAAGCCAGAAATGTGTTTTTTGATTTTTCATGCACATCGTGAATGAAAATCAAGACGTATTTACTTAAAAAGTAAGAAGGGGATATAGAAAACAATAATAATATTTATAATAGAGGAATTCGTGTTGTTTTGTAGGTAATCGTATTTTTTTGGATAACTTTTGTATATATTGGTACTTGAAATTTGTAGTATTTCAACTATATATTATATATTTCAATCAAATTACGATTACGGGTAAGTGTATGGTTTCAAAAATCAAATGGTTGAAACATATATGTGTTTCGTTCTATATTATAATACAAATTTTCAATGAATGTCTTTATGTTTTACTAACAATAAGCATATTTTTCTTCTAAAACTTATAATAATTATATCGTTTTCTCGCACGTTATGTGAAAATATATACATGTAGATTTTCCGTTTTTCGTACTGTGTACTGTACTTACTTATATTGATCTTATTAATGAATAATAACATATCCGTGATTCATAAGAAAAAAATTATTATCTCTGCTTTAGGCAAATTATTTAAACACAAGTGATACTATCAAGCATTGTATCACTCTCTTGTAATATTCTTTATTGAAATGACGAATCAGTTCTCAACATAAGATTTATGACAGTACAGAAAGATAATCAGTCATTATCTATCAGACGTATTTATAGTCACACTAGACTACTCATGATTAATTTAAGGAACATTTATACGAACCAATGCATCTTTATTCTGTAAGTTATGTCAAAGAAGTCCATGATATATTTTTAATTCATCTGTTTATCCTTTTTTTCCAGATAATAAAGCTCCATTTGTATCACCCAACTTTCCAAACAGGACCACTGTCAATATCAACTCAACATGGTCCATTAATCTTACTGATTATGTTACCGATGATAATACACCCCCTGAAAAACTCGTGTTCAAAGTTGTCACAAATGTAACAGCGGAAGAGTATTCCATTGGTAATAATTACATATATTTTATTTTTTATTTTAAATGACTATCATCAGTGGAATTTGAATATTGATTTACAATCAAATTCACACAATGCAATTTGTGAACATATTCTGTTTAATTGCATATTGTGATACAATTCAATGTTTTGTATTAACAAGTCAGGTTATTGCATGATGCTAAAATATGCTGCACGCACATACCTACATTCACCTTAAAGTTACATTAAATAAATATGTAAAAAATATTTTTACGTCAGCCTAAAAACCAAGCATTCTACAGTTTCATTAACCTTTTTAACAGTATTGTTGTAAATCTAATCAAATATTGTTTATAAATTAGGATTTTAAATGGAAAACCCCACGGTAACACTAAAGTTCGTATACGAATATTAACATGCAAATGAAGACTATAATCAGCTCGTGTATGCGCTACGTCACGGTGTTATAGTTGCTGTCCGGAACACAGAAAATATAAGATTTTCTTGTGCAAACAAACTTTAACCGTTTAAGCTTAACGGTGCACTAGGCCTGGGGTTCAGAAAAAATAATCATCTCATAAAAAAGATTTAATTTGTAGAAAATATCCGTTACAATGCAGAAATATACCGTTAAATTACGACTGCTACTAATAGTCATGTTTGTTGATTTAAAATTGATGTACGGATGATCCGAAGGCGGAGTTTCTCATGCAAACAGAAATTGTACTTCCGAATTCGCCACAATGAGGCTGCACATTTTTATGCTCATAAAACTCATTTTGGTTGTCTGGACACCAATATAAGGTCTGGAGTCGATAAGAAACCAATCTATTAATGAAATGTCGCTATTTTTGTTTTTTATGAAATTTATTTAATGTAACTTTAAAACTGCGTCAGGGTAACAATTTTAGCTCTTTTGCCGAAATAATTGTTAGTTTCGGTTGTATGCGGGCGGTCGCAAGCTCGATTGTTTTCTGATGCATTTGTATATATACTTCACGTACTGTATCTTAATTGTGACATTGCCTTGTGATCGTGCCCTTGATATTACTTTATCAATTTTGTTGATTCATTTATACAATATTAACAAATACATAATATAATGTAAAACAGGTGACATTTTTGAGTCTCTCATAGGAATATACCAAAAACTGCATTTGTCGAGTGTTAATTCTATATCTAATAGTATGTATTGTTTTAAATTTATTACTCTTTCAAATGTTCAGTTTTTGTACCAAATTACATATCACATGTATCGTTTATACTTGGTAGATGGAGGAGTATTCACATGGAAAGTTGGCAAAGGTTTACGAGAAATTGACACAGGCATACAATTCATCGTATACGACACATTTAATGCTAGCAGTGTTTTCAGTTTTTCAATCTATTATTGTGGATGTAGTGAAGTTTCGTTTTGTTCATTTAATGAATCTACTGACAATCCTTCAGGTAATCATGCTCCGTTTTCTACTATTTTTACTTTGTCTATGCTTTCACTTTTTGGTTTAACAAAAAGGGGAAAGATATTTAAATGAAACCTCCCCTGGCATTTTTTTTGAGTGCCCAAAATAAAACGTTATTGTATAAAAAAAACGACAAAAAATTAAAACCCTATTACCTGACTTTTTTTTTGGTTTTCAGTTTACTTTTGGTTAAAAGCCTGGTTTTTTCCCAGATACAAAAACGGGGTTTTCAAAGGGTTAAAAAAGATTTTTGGGGAAAAACCGTTAAAATGATTTTTGAAAATTAATGGTTTAAAGTCAAACCTTGTCCTTGGGGCCCCCCTTGGGTTCCAAAGGAAGGAAAACTTTTAATCCCGGGATAAAAATGGGGGAACCCAAAAGGTAACGTGGGAATTTAAAACCTCAAAATTAAAGGAAATTTTTTAAATATTAGCCCATTTAAAAAATAGGAGAATAATTTCCTTCTGCAAGAATATCAGTGCAAATAATGCGCATATCTCTTCACTGGAAATATGTATCTGAATTGTAGCGAATACATTTTATAATCGTGGGATTTGTGGCAATAAAAGGTGTAGATATGTATTTTCTTTATGTCAAACCGTTTGAAATAATAATGGTTTGGCCGTGCATGGTTCAGACTTTAATGGAGCTAGGAAGTATAGCCCGTATGAAATTGCGTCAATCCGAGAATAATGCTTTTCCAGGACGTTGCTTGTTTGAGTCATCAGAATTTATTTTCGTCTTTTTTTTTAATTGACAAAATGTATAGTTTGATCACATTGTATAAATTATTGAAATATATTAGAAAGTGTTTTCGATATTACTTGGAAAGAAAAGTCGTTATCAACCTTGTAAATCTATTTCCACACATTTTAGGAAAGGAAATCGTTAACATATGAAAAGGGAACTTTAACTATTTAAAATGATCAATTTACTGCAAGTATGAAAATGAAATTTCCATTTGTCTGCATATAATAGTTCACTCTATCATGAAGACGAATATCGTTTGCTCAGGGTAACGTGTATCTTTTTAAAGATCGGCTCACACGATTCATGCTTAAAACGAATATTAAAAATTAGCGCAGAATTCGTGACTTTGGCTTAGTAGCATATGCATATAAGCTTCACTGTGTAAATTGTAAATGCATTTTTATTTTCAGCAATAGGTTTTGAATCACTGCACATTTCTTAAATCAGCTAGTAAATGTATATTGAAATTACAACCAATATTACTGTTTTATATTTAAATAAGATTGGACAATAAAACATTGGCCAATCTTCCAAAATTGCGAAATGACATAACTCAGTAACAGACAGATTATGTTCAGATTATCAAGCATTCTGTATGTATTATTGTTTTATTTATACTGATATCCACTTTATAGCTTTTTATTTGTATTTTTCAATGAGATCAGTCATTCGTAGTGATTTCTTTGAATAATGTTACAAATAATGTTTTGAATGTTTGATTCTCTCAATTTTGTAATAAACTTTATGAAGGACATTGGTGAACAGCATATTTTATCGGACATTCTCGATTATCTATCACCTTAACCCACCTATCAAATTAAAACCTATTATAAATAATTAAAATCACCAATACGATTTAGATATATATTATCCGTAATTCTGAATATAACATCGTGTCACTTATGAAATCTATCTTTATAGATATCGACGAATGCAGAGTTGTTAAAGCTGGAGCTGACAAGTGTGAGCAGAATTGTATTAATACTGATGGATCGTTTAAATGTAGCTGCTCCAGTGGATATAAATTAAATGGCGATGGTAGAAATTGTTCCGGTAAGTTAATATATGCGTTGACATTGCATTCATAAAATCAAGCAACATATTCGTAAATCGTTTGTTACATTCTCATAAACTCAATTACTTTTTAAATTTCCCTTTATATTTATTTCATGGTAGGTTTCCCTTCGACAAAAAGTTTTGGGGAAAAAACCCAAAAAAAGGGAAAACAAAGTCCTTAACCCAAGATGTTATAAAATTAAAAAAAAGACATAATTTTTTTCCCGGGCTTTTAAACATAATCGGTTGGAAAGGTTTTAAATTTAAAAATTCCCCTTTAAAAATCTGTTTTTGAAAAATACACCACCCTTTTGAAGGGCAAAGTTTTTTAAAGCAAAGGGTTTTTTTTATAATGAAAAAATAATGTAAAATTTTATCAATTAAAAATTTTTAATTCCCTTTTTATAGGAAAACTTTACCTTAATTAAAAAATTTGTTTTTATTTTTAAAAATTTAAAAAACGAAATTTTCTTCCCCTTATAATGGCCCCCTTTAATGGAAAATGAAAAAAAACCCCTAACTTTAATTCAAGAAATCCTTTATAAAAGAAAAAAATGAATATGAAGATATGTTATGCCAGAACATGCATAACAGAGACTGGTACAATTAAAATATGATGAAAATATTATACAAATTATAAATATATACAAATGGCAAATTGGTTAAGCAACATGTTTGAGTAACATTAGATTAAACCCTTCCCGACGGTGGTTCTGCCCTTGTGACGTCTGGTCCGGTTTTACTGATTAAGTATTCTTCATAACATTTAGGTATTCAGTTTCACACAAAATGTAATAAAAAACAAAACTAACCTGGAGCTTTTACCCGGTCATTTCTATTTTTTTTCACAGATTTCTAACAGGTTTGCTGAAATGATGAAACTGTATAATACATGCATTTATTATTTTGTAATCAATTCACATATTTTTGTTTTTGTTTGTTTAATAAACAGATATAGATGAATGCATTCAAGGTCAATCTCTATGTCTCAAAAAGAATGAAGCATGTGTGAACACACCTGGGAACTATAGTTGTATATGTGTCGCAGGATATGTTCGTTTCAATGAAAGTGTCTGTGAAATATCGAGTAAATATACATTTACTTTGCAGTATAAGTTTCTCTTAAAAAACAAACTTTTTACTATGTCTTTGTCTCATATTTTCATTATACAAGAATATGTATCATTATTATATAAATGTGTCATACCTATGCGGCTAAGAACAAAACTATGTCTTGTAAAATGACTTTAAATCACCTGTTCTTGGTTTGATAGATGAAAGTTATTTTTAAAAAAATCAATATTTGGATTCTATCAGCATCATGATATATAATATCATTTTATTTTCTACGAACTTGGTTGAATAACTCCACTGTGGTACACTCCCATTTGAAAAGCGCGGCAACGGTTTTCTACTCGAATCGGGCTAAAACGAGGACAAAATGCGATTTTTTAATCTACGTTTTATTTTTTTGCTGAATAACTTACATATCATTCTGAGTTAAGTGCCCCAGCAGATATATGTAAATAAAAGAAATTGTATGTTTTTAGGCTAAAGGATCTTAGTGGAGTACTTTTACGATTTAGCTTAAATTGGTGATTATAGATATGTCCTTTATATTAGAATTATATAGAATAACTGTTAGACATTACTTAGTGAAAAAAAATCAAACAAACATCAATCTTAAATCATGTTTTTTTGTATAACTTCCCAAACTAAATTATGTTTAACTTTCAAAAATTGTGACATCATTTATCAAAGCACACGTATACTATTTTTTCTTTATATTGGATATCATCAACATCATATCAAGAAATATCTTCATTCCTGTATTTCAGATGGCCCACAATTTGTTGGCAATATCGCTTTTGTGATTGTAACAAAACCTAGTGAGGAAGACATTAAAACAATAAACAGTCTTGCTAATAGAAATGCAATGCAAGAACAGGTAACATTTAACAAATATACAGTATAGATGAATTTGTTCACCAACTATTGTAATTGAGAAACCAGTCAAATGGTGTTGGTAATAACACGAAAATTCATTCCAAGATGTACGGATGGAGCTCTTTTTATGTTATGCATTTCTTTACAGATTTTGAATATAACAATGCAAGAAGATTTTTATTAATGATAGTTGCAACAAGCAAAGATATCCGTTGTAACGTCTACACATATATTTGTTAATAAATCTTTTGATTATTTGATTGATTGATTAAATTATTGATTGATTGATTGAATGACTGATCTTAAATATATGTTTGAGATCGATTGTCATATAATGATAATTGGATCAATTGGATATAATTGTTCAAGCTATGTTCGTAAAAAATATTCATTTAGTGTCTAAACGTTGTTTCAATAGATTGAGTAGGGTTTATCAAACAAAACTCTAAAGGCAAGTACGAATTCAGCTTGCAAAATGTTTAGTCAAATTCTATGTATATATGTAGTAAAATTACACCCACGCTCAAAACAAGTTGTAGAAACAATGTATTATTGTATGCATACAAATATGTTGCGTCAAAAACTGATTTTTGTTTGATCTTTTTTCATCTTGTAGCTGACGGAAAGGTTTTCATATTCTCCAAACTTTGTTAGTGTTGAAGTCCTTCATTTGTTTTATATGTAAGTAATCCTTTTTTATAATATATAATTGATGTAGTTGCTTTCAACATTTTTTTTTACATTTATTATGCAAAACTTATTTTAAAAAATATCAATCAGAAGCACACAATAATCATATGTTTATTTTTATATCATTGTAGTACTGAAGCTATCATCTTTCATATTTATTTGTAAAAGAATAATGACATTTTCAGTATTGACAGAATATAACAACATTTACATTATAAACATAACTTAAAGATACACTTGTCTTTTCCATATGAAGCAATAAAAATCGTAGGAAAAGACAGGATTCTCAAAAAGGATTTAAAATACAAGTAGACTACATCGTGCACTGTCAAAATGAAACAAACAACACATTGGTGTTGAAAGAGTTAACAGATTCGATACAAACATATCAAAGAAACATTACCACCGCTAATAAGACGTCTTTTGAGATTGGTCAACTGAAACTAAACACTAAAACGTCTGTTCTCAAAGTAAATACTGGTAAGTTTATTCATATATTAAGCAAGAGTTTAAAGAAATTTCCAAAGCATTTTTGTTCTTCAAAATTCATTTTCTTTTTATCTTTGTTAAAAAACGTGAAATAGTAATTGTTTGATTAATAAAACGTGTTTATTTTACCTCATTGATTTGAATATGATATATGTATGAATTATTTCATAATTAAAACCTTACAATACATTTTCAAGAAATGGTTTGTGATTCAAATTACGTTATTTTCAAATTACGGTAAAACAATATATACAAAATTTATATCTTAACCTTGTGCTGTTTGGTTGAATAAAGCTAGGCAAGCTTATTACAAGTTCTTACTGTTCGCTTTTTACATTTAAATATGCAGCCACAGAAGGCGGCCTGTGTAAAGTTGAAGGAAAAACAGATTGTGCCAAGGACAGTACTGATTGTAATGATTACAATGACGGAACATTTAATTGCACATGCAAAAAAGGATTTAGACCAAAATCCGAATGTAGCATACAAATACTGCAACGGTATAGTTATCTGTTTCCTTTTTTTCTGTATGTGAAGTGTTATTTAATGATTCATGAGATAAATGTGGTTTCGTTATTAACAAACTACAGATCAATTCTCCTCAGACATGTTTGCTCACATAGGTTTTCCCGTCTTTCATTTTGGTCTATCCCAAATATGCTCATGTTAGCAAGTAAAGAAGTAAAAAAACATATTGTGCATCAATACTTGAGATAAGAAGCTTCCAGACAATCACATTTCTTACATCAATAATTTTTCATTTTCAAGTGGACCAACAGGAACTGGTACTTGAATGAAATGTTTCTACCATAGTGTGTAGTCGAAATAATAGTTACTATGTTTCATAAACCTGAAATATTGTTTCAGTTTCGTAGTTTTACTTATCTGTAATAAGAAATCAAAAGTGCCCTTTTCTATAAAGTTGGACTTAACTGAAAACGGCATGAATAGCATTTTCATATTCTAGCTTCTGAATTTCTTGAAAAAGAATAATCTTGATTTATTCTCGTAAGATACAATATATACGATTATTATCGTATTATAATTCATTTATTTGACGGTTCACCCAAACATGTATAGGATGCATTTTACCATGTTGTTTATCACAGATATAGATGAATGTAAAGAATTTAAAGCGAACAACACAATCAAAGATCGTTGCATCCATGGAGTATGTAGAAATTCAGTAGGCTCGTGGAATTGTTCTTGCGATCCCGGCAGACTATGGCAAAATAAAGGAAACAATTCATATCCGGTATATAGATGTCAGGGTGCGTATGCTGTTCTAATTTATTGAAACATGATCGCCTAAAAAAGCATTATATATCAAACCGTTTTCAAATATAAATTTTCAAAGTTATCGTCAAACAGTATTCAAACAGTATTCAAATGTAAAAGAAAGAAACATTATAACTGTCAGAGAAATAACAAATACACCTGCCAACTTCTTGAAACATGATTTTGTGACGGATCTAATTGTTTTTACCTAAATAGTCGTTTAAATATAATCCCTTAAAGGGGAATTAAATGATTTATTACGGACCGACATTCGGCCTGAAAATGTTACCTTGTCACTGTGGCAGCACAATGGCAGTATAAATGCTCCAAGTTACCATTTCGGGATAAATATTTGTACACACTTTGAAGACAATCTCGGAGGATGTAAATGAGTTCTACAGCGGTAACGATATGTGACCTTGACTCAGAGGTAACACAATGAATGCACATGTGATTTTGTGTGAACTTTTGAAAAGGGTGATTAAGGTAAACGAATTGAGCCGCCCAATGACAAAACCAACATAGTGTTCTGTCCATTCTGTTCGCTAATCAGTTTCTATACTCTTGCATCCTGATCAGACTGATTATTATTAGTATTAGTATTAGTAGTAGTGGTATTGGTATTGTTAGTGGTAGTAGTTGTATTAGTGGTAGTAAAAGTTGTAGTGTTAGTGGTAGTGGTTGTATTAGTGGTAGTAGTAGAAGTAGTGTTAGTGCTAGTGCTAGTATTAGTGGTAGTGTTAGTGGTAGTGTTAGTGGTAGTGGTGGTGGTAGTGGTGGGGGTGGTGGTGGTAGTGGTAGTGGTAGTTGTTGTATTAGTGGAAGTGGTAGTTAGTGTTAGTGGTAGTGTTAGTGGTAGTTGTAGAAGTAGTGGTAGTAGTAGTAGTAGTAGTAGTGGTAGTGGTAGTGGTAGTGGTAGTGGTAGAAGGTGGTAGTGGTAGTGGTAGTCCCAGTAGTAGTCGTAGTTTTATCGTAATAATAATAAAGATTATACTAATAATAATTATGATTATAATAATTATGAAACTATTTTTGAATTACAAATTTATTTTAGTTCTTTTGTGTAAGAGGACATCACCTTAAATACACACATTCAAGATCATTCCTTGAACCAACCAATATTGTGCAATGAGTGTTCAGATCCTGCGCAAGGAAACAATGGCGACCCCAATACTACTTTTCCGACGCGTTAACCACATGCTGCCAACTTTCTCCTCACAATCAATATTCATTCAATATTTTGATTTATCTAATTTTCAGGAAATCATAGTTACATTGGATATATCAGCATTGCTGATTATGATTCATCAAGAAAAACAAATATTGTTGAGTTGATACAATATCAGGTAAAAAGAAACTTTTTTTCTTTGAAATAAAATAAAATCTTAAGACTTACATTTGTATTTTAAAAGGGTCATTGTTACACATAAACTGACATGAATGTACAACGATGTTCCCATATCTCTGAGGAGTAAACCAATTATGTTAAGCCTCAATGTATGTTTGTTTTTATAATAAAGATTTTATAAAGTACATAAATTGAAATATTAGACTGTGGATAAAATTTGTGGTGGTCAAAACATCTGGATGTATTATGTTGATGATAAATCTTGTTATTTTATTTTCTAAATGTTTATCATTAGTTGAAAACATGGTTTGAAGATCCAAAGAATGAAAACAAATCTTATGATGAGCCAATAAGCAGACTATTTGTGAATTCAAAAGTTCTCAGTCTCGTTGAAAACATGGCATTACGGTAATGCAATTCTTTTAATAGTTATGTGTATACATTTCATTTTGAAAATTTTGTAAAATTGATTGATTTTTTTTATCATTTTATCCTCATTAAAATTTATATTATTCTTACAGTGTTTGTCGTTGTCGTTGTATTTGTTGTTGCTTAGTTGTAGTAATTGTAATTGTTGTTGATATTGCAATGCATTTTGAGTGCTGACAGGAAATTGAATGTCTTTTTTATACAAAGTTTATAGGAATGAAATGAATATCATTTTGCAAAAATAATGAATACAATTTTAAGTCCTTAGCATTATTTACTGATATTGAAAATGAAGCGATTTATGAAATAATAAAGTAAATAAATGAGAACCATGTTTTAAGCATATCAAATATTTGTTCTAGAACAGACTATTATTAGCTATTATAGATATTCGGATTAAGTATTTCGCACTTACCAACAACTATACATTGTCAATCATGATACAAACCAGATAATGCCAACACCAGTATGTATATGTATAGTATTACACATGCCCAAGTATAACCCAATTCAATTTAAGTTGTTGTGTTTCGTTTTGTTTATCATCTATATGATTCCTAATATATCATGTTAATGAAAATATGTTTTTTTTTCAGTTTTATGCATAACCATTTATTAATCTTACTTCAGTCATGGCTCTTTTCGTCAATACAACGCCACGTTTTTGTTAAGGATCGGGGAAATTGTTCATAGCGAAAGGTTGTTGAATGTTTTGAATGGCGTTTTGCGTGAAGGAGATTGTCGGATACGTAATAGTTCACTAGATGTTGCTTTCGAAAATAACTCATATTTCATATTCAATGGTTTGTATGCATTACATGTAGTTCCTCTGTCTGTTTTCGGCTTCATTAAGACCTCATCCCATGGCCATACTTTAGATACGTAACTTTACATCTGGAAATGAGTTAAACACACCCCGGAAATTTAAAAAAAGGTGTGATTAAAAGCACTGTGACGACTTAATTGAACTAAGAAATAGTAATTTTATAAGTAGATATTCCAATTGAGTAATCATTAGCAAATTTATGAGCTCAGTTTATTCTTTACCAAATTTTTGAAGCATAAGCAGATGTGTTGATTTTTTATAAAAAAAAATGTGTGTTTATAAATATGGTGTTGGAGCGTTTACAAAACATTTATTTGTGGATATTTTGGTAAATTAATATTGATGATTATGTAACCTAAAATGATATTATGTAGCCACATTTTAATGACGTGTGTAACGGCCACGTGCCCTAATGATAGCCTCAACCCTCCTCCTTATACTAACAATAAGGCATCTGATTTGATTTTGAGGTAAATTTTGTCATTCTTGGTGCAGAACTTACACAGTTGTTGCGGTTTGACTACAGGTGGTTCGTACCATTGCCCAAATAAAATTAGAAAATTCAGTTGTGGTCTTGACAAATGTTGAGGCAAAATGCCTTGTGTGTTTAACTGTTTTCTATGTTTATATAATATAGGTAGCTAAAACCTGAATTGTGAAATAAAGAAAATTGCAAAAAGTGTTTTCTCTATCTTAATAGCATATAAATTATGTATTATTAGAATCCGTCTTTAAATCTATATTTTGATATTTTAAATAGACGTCGCAATTGTATATACATGTATTACCTGTCGATACTTCTGGCCGGCTATATGAACCAATAGAAACGGTGAATTTGAAATGACACATTCCCCTGTTAATAAGACCGTAAGGTCATAAAAATATATCGTATATAGCATTTAGTTGTATTGCTAAGAGTATGTTTGTTATTTATTTTACATGTTTTTTAACATAGATTACGATAATAAGCTATGTGAATTTGGATCGAATGGCAACTGTGACAAGGAAACAACTACTTGTAAACAAATTAACGGATCCACTTTCTGTCTCTGCAAAGAGGGGTTTCACAAAACTATCGAGTCTATGAAATATTGCACTGGCAAGCATTTTTAATAATTCTGTGTTTTTTTGACATAACAGTATAGTAACGACTTAAAATGGATAGCAACAAACTCTGCTGCTAGGTTCCGAAACGTCTATAGTTCTACTCAGTGCCTGAAATTATGCATGGAATGGTACCTGAAGTCTTTCTTCAATATGTGACAAACACCATTAGAAATAAATAAAAACAATAAGAATAGAGAAAAAACGTTGATGTTCAAGACGTCTTAATCGTTTAAGCAAAAAATCTAAAATTTGATATCAGTTACAATATTATTACACTTTTCTTTCATTCTTTGATGAAATAATTCATGCACCACAATTACTTTACAACTGAAACTTAATTTGCTATGACTAATTTGCTAAACAATTCATACTATAACTCAAAAAAGACAAATTCAAACGGAAACCGTAACATAATAAGAAGTGAAGATACATGCAGGGAAAACAGCATTTATATATGTCCAACATTTTATTATTCAGATATAGATGAGTGTGAAATAGAAACATGCAATAATGAAACGTGTGTTAACAGTTACGGCAACTGGTCATGTCAATGTAAAAATATTAATTCGATCCCGGATTCAAATGACAGAAAAAATTTTACATGTAAAGGTAAGATTTTTGCAATTTTTTATTTGTTTTTGATCAATTAAATGATGATAGCTCTTGCTTAAAGGTTTAGCACCTCCCTGTTCATCAGGGGTTTGTTTAGCCATAATCAAATTTCAAAATTTTAAATGGCATACAACTTTACGTTCATAGGGTGTTGTTTTTGTAATGTATTAACACCAGCCGTTTGTGTCTATTTCATTGATTTTGTTTAGCTTTATAAGCAAAACAAACAAAAATGTATCACTCTTAATTACTTAAATATGTAAAATATACTAACATTAAAATTATAACTTTCATATTTCTCAATCATGTTAATACTTTCTTGTGTTTATCTTTATTCTTAATTAATCATTATTATCCCCCGCCGAAAGGCGCCGGGAGATATAGAAATAGTCTCCGTCCGTCTGTCCTTCCTTCCATCCGTCCGCCCATCCGTCCGTCCTTCCGCCAGAGCATATCTCAAAAAGTATTTGAGGTATGAACTTGAAACGTCATAGGTAGATAGATATCATTAAGCAGCAGGAGTGCAGTGCACAATAATGAAACTCTATCCTGCATAACTTCTGAGTTGCCCTTTGTTATTTTTCAAAATTAATTTTTGTCCAGAGCATAACTCAAAAAGCATTTGAGATATCAATATGAAACTTCATATGCGCATATATGTCACTCAGAAGGTGTGCAGTGCATAAGAATAATACCCTACCTTTCATAATTTTTGAGTTATTGCCCTTGTTATTTTTCATACTTAATTTTTCACCTGAGTGGAGCATAACTCAAATAGTGTTTGAAATGTCAACATGAAATGGCATAGGTGGATAGATTTTATTAAGGAGGAATGTTGTGCGCAAGAATGATAACTCTTTGCTATATAATTTTTGAGTTATTGCCCTTTGTTCTTTTTCATACTATTTTGTCCGGAGCTTATCTCAAAAAGTATTTGAGTAATCAACTTGAAACTTCACAGGTGGATGGATCTCATTGAGGAGGAGTGCAGTGCATAAGAATGATAACTTTACCCTGCATACATTTTGAGTTATTGCCCTTTGTTATTTTTCAAAATTAATTTTTGTCCAGAGCATAACTCAAAAGGCCTTTGAGATATCAACATAAAACTTCATATGTGCATAGATCTCACTAAGGAGGTGTGCATTGCATAAAAATAATAATTCTACCTTTCATAATTTTTGAGTTATTGCCCTTTGTTTTTTCCATACTTAAGTTTTCACCTGAATGGAGCATAACTCAAAAGTGTTTGAGATGTCAACCTGAAATGTTATAGGTGGATAGATCTTATTGAGGAGGAATGCTGTGCGCAAGAATGATAACTCTTTGCTATATAATTTTTGAGTAATTGCCCTTGTTCTTTTTTATACTATTTTGCCCGGAGCTTATCTCAAAAAAGTATTTGAGGTATCAACTTGTAACTTCATAGGTGGATAGAGTTTACTGAGGAGGGGTGCAGCACACAAGAATGATAACCTACCCTGCATTATTTTTCAGTTATTTCCCTTTGTTATTTTCAGCCATCAGTATTCACATAGGTTTCAAATCTGAAATCACTTCAGTCGCCATTAGTGTTCATTACCAAAAGACCTCTTAAAATTGAATTATTCTGCTCTACTATGTATACATTCTTCCAATGAGCAAACCCATTCGGTGGGGGTGGCCATGTTGACATGGCTCTTGTTATTACCTAATGTAGTTATCATTTCATTTTTAAACGAACAGATTCCATGCGAAGATACAATGTTCCGTGACATCAGAATAATGCTTAATCATTTTATAGCTATAGGAAAAATTAAAAAAGTTTTAATGCTACTTTAGAATAATGTGCATGTCGTTTCGTTTTCAAATTCAATAATTTCATTTTTTTCAAATTTCGTTAAAGAAAATAGTTTAGCAGTTGATTTACATTAAACCAATAAGTTATATTATTATATTATATTATCAAAACTAATGTAGTTTAAGTAGCAATTAAAAAAAAGATATATTATATCAAATTGAAAAACAATAATTACAAGCAACTATTCTATGAAAAGATATTTTACGTTATATAAATTACCTTTCAATTTCAGACGTGTCTGTTTGTGAATATAAGGAATATAAGAATAAGAACATTAATTTTAAATGTATAAACGGAAACAGGACATGTCGAAGTGACACACAGAAATGGGAATGTACTTGTGAAAAAGGATTATCATCTGTTTATTATGACATCAATACTTTCAAATGTGAAGGTATGTTATCATGATTGATGGGTATAAAATATTGTTTTTAATACTTCCGAGGGATCGCGTTTTTCCAAATATTTAATGACTTCTTTACATATTGTTTCCCATAAAATATAACCCTACAAATAAGTTTTTTGGCTTGATTGTGACAATAGTTTTAGCCTATATTTGCCAAAATATATTTAAAGAAAAAAACACATTTTTAGATAGCTAGTGAATATTATGTTATGTATACTTATAAATATTTAAAATGAATTTGATCAGGGCGAAACTATATCTTTATGTATTATATTTATCTATTTATAAGCTAAAGAACATTGTAAACGCTGTATTACAGTTTTTGTCTAACAAACTGTGTAGTAGTGAACTTCGCAATCGGGATATATTTACAATTTTGTTTGTCCATTAAAATTGCAAAAAATGCCCTTTCGTGGAGAAAATCTAATTTAACCAAAACATTGGATAAACGTAAACTTTGTATGTTTTTTTAGATTCGAAAACATTTCAATCCACCACGTGTAAAAAAGTGTGAATTTTTAGATATTTCTAGTCCAAATGTGTTTCTTTTGTGTAAATGAGTAAGCAAGGACAACATGTATTGTATACATATTTACAGAAAAAAACGTTTTCGACATAATTTTGTTAATTTAAGATGTCGATGAATGTGCTAAAACTGATGGTAAATGTTGTGGGCATGAAACTTGCAAAAACGAGTTAAAGGGCAACGGTTATTCTTGTGGTGATCTAAATCCAATATTTGTGGTCATTGTATCTTGAAATTAGAAGGCTAAATATTTTAGGCGAAATGTTTTTTTTAGAGTAAGCAGGAACAATCTGTATTGTTTACATCTTTACAGAAATAACCTTGTTGACATAATTTTGTTAATTTAAGATGTCGATGAATGTGCTGAAACTGGTGATATATGTTCCGGGCATGGAACTTGCAAAAACAAATTAAATGGCAACGGTTATTCTTGCAACTGTGAGAAAGGTTACAAAGAAAATGCGACCAACTGTTTTAATGTTACTTGCGAAGGTATGACAAATTTCACAGTACGTATTGAATGGATAAGAATTTCATACAATATCATATTCATGTACATTTTACTGTATTTCATTATTTTCGATAAAGTATTGTTTTGTTTTGTTTTCATGATAATTATATATTTTTAGAAAGTTTTTGTACATAGTGAGTGATTGTATTATTGGCAATGTGAAAATATTGCAGGGACAATTGGCAATTTAATTATGATTATATCAATTACAGACCATATAACATAATCTGGTAGATTAGTACAATATTATTAGCACATGTTTTCAGATATAAATGAATGTGAAGCTAGCAGCAATTACTCATGCCTTGGAGGAGGAAATTGCAACAATACAATTGGCGGCTGGGGATGCTTATGTAATGCTGGATACCAAGCTACCACAATCTCAAAGTTCAATATTAGTTGTGAAGGTATAACTTTCTCTCTACAACACATCTGCTTATTTTAAGTTTTAAATCTCACAGCCTACGGAGGTTGTTTGCTAAGACCGTTGTGGATTTAAATTCTGCTGCCAAGGTCAACTTTAAGTCATGGGAGAACGCTATCTAGCAAGATAAAAATGTACGATGTCGTTTGTGCGTCAATAAATGCACAAAACAGTACGTGTTACTGTGATATTATGTAAACATTTGTTCTTATCTCGGTTTGTTTCATTAATCTAAAAAACAATTACCCAAATAATTGCGTATCCTGCTTATCTATATTCAAGTTAAATAGTCGTTCCAATTTATTTTTAATCAAGCATCAGTTTTTACAAAGTGATTTATCCCAAAATACATGACGTTGATAATGTGGATCTAAATCCAAGATTTGTGGTCATTGTAGCTTGAAATTAGAAAGCTAACTTACGTATAAGAACTTGTGTGTTCAAATATGTGGTATGTGATTAAAGTAATTATTAAAACAGATTTAACATTTTCCTTTTAAATTAGATATTGATGAGTGTGAAAATAATTCGTACTATTGTAATGGAACCTGTTACAACGTTATGGGGAATTGGACGTGTACCTGTCTAGAAGGATTTAGAGCTCAAAGAAGTCAAAATGGGACTCGCATATTGTGTATAGGTATCCCGTCTTTTCAAACTGTTTTGATATAGTTTGTTGTATGTTGTCGTTGTATTGTTTGTGATAGACCGTTATAGTTTATCATGTCTTTCTATCATCTACAGATATCTTTAAGAGAGTAAATAATGCTAAGGACTTAAAATGATTATATTCATTTTTTTTGCAAAATGATATTCATTCCGTAGCTATAACCTTTATATAAAAAGACATTGAATTTCCTGCCAGCACTCAAAATGCATTGCAGTAAATTGCTATACTGTTAGTCTCGATAACAATTGCAACACACAATATGCAGATAACCTTTTGCAACATTTTTAAAACGTTTTCAAAACTAAAATTAGTTTAACCAATTGAGAATAAATTGTCTCAGCAAAAGACAACACATTATACTAGTGTTTCACTCCAAAAAATATGTACAGAAAAAGGCCTTTGTTCGTACGCTTTTTTTATCGTTGAGTACTTTTGAAGCAATATGCATTTACTACTTCTGTTAATGAACGGACAGAACAAAATAAGATTTACCATTTTTAGTATTGGCGTGTTAGACAGTCTCCGATGTTTATAATTTATCATTTTTAGATATTGATGAATGCCAAGAAAACAAGAATTGTTCAGGACATGGAAGTTGTGAAAATCATCCAGGCCGATTTGAGTGTAAATGTTATGATGGATTCGTGTTTAATTCTTCAAACCAAACATGCATCGGTACAGAACATTCAGCTCATACTTATTTTTACAATTTATACAATCACTCAATTTTATTTTCTTATTTTCTTTTCATTTATTTTAAGAGTTTTTGAGCTATTCAATCTTAAATGATATACAGGTATCAAATTGTATTGAACAAGTTGTTATAAAGTTATGTTGGAAATTTCTTTTATATTGATTTAAAACGAAGTGCTTGACTATACAAAAGAAAGGAAATTAAATATTAGGTTCTGTATTAAATCATATTGTTTATGTTTGTAAGAGTTTTTGTAATGTCGCCCGACCCAAGTTTCAGTGTTATACAAAATAAATTTACAAGATGGTAATCAGTGCAGCGTGTTACTTATGTATTTCGTGTCGAGAACGTCTAAATGTACATTTAAGCACAAAAACACTGGGTTGATATATTGTGGGTATGTCCTCTGAATAAAACGTTTATGTTATCTTACAATGAAGTTTGAAAATTTACACAGAACATTTTGTTTTACTTTAAAACTAGATATTGACGAATGCAATAAACCAAAAATATGTGGTGACGGCGGAAATTGCACCAATACTCTCGGAAATTATAAATGCACTTGTCCAAAACATGGATATGTTCAACAAAAATATCACAATGATTCTTGCAAAGGTGAGAAGTTAATTTTGTTAATAAAAACGATTTTTGAATTTTGATTAGTTTTTTTTCTCGTTAAAGAATACTTCAAAGATAGCTTTCCATTTTACATTGTCCTAATATTTTATTTTCATCCACTTGATATTATGTCAAATTGTGTCTGTATGAATTGACACCAATTCAAAATATATTAAGAAAAATTATCACAACCGTTCAGTTAACATCATTTTATATCATTTGAAAAAGACAATTTTTTAACAATTGTTAAAGCTGTAACTAATTTTCAGGCGTGCTCCATTATATTTATATTTTTACATTAGACATTAATGAGTGCACAGACGAATCGTATTACTGTGGTGGTGATTGTAATAACACACTTGGAAGCTGGACATGTAAATGCAAGCAAGGATACTCTAAGGAATCAAATAACGAAACAAAAATTTCCATTACGTGCGAAGGTAACTCAGTTATTGTTGAGATATTATCTCAAACACATATTTTATTTATCGATGTTTTTCTCGGAATTAATATTTGTAGTAATAAGGTGTGTGGTGGCCTGGTGGTAAATGCGTTGGCATTTAACCAAGAGATATTTGGGTGACTCCGAAACGACTTTATTCAGTAGGATAAACTTCCTGTTAATACATTCAGGCTAATTAACTGTATCCCTATAACATACTAAGGGTGTTTATGGTCGTTTCGAATTGTCTTATTTATCTGTCTGTTAAAATTTGTTTAACTAAGCTAAGTTACTTAACATGTAACCATGTAACTCTCAACATTGCAGAAATTCCATATAACTAAATAGTTATATTATGTGTGTATCTATACAATTAAAGAACATTTGTAAATCTGTGCATGAATTATTGTTTCAAGATATAAACGAATGTGACAAAAGCGCAAAGTGTGTAGATGGTGTATGTATAAATCTAGATGGGTCTTGGAGTTGTGACTGTCAGGACGGAAAGCAGCCAGAGCGCTTTAATTCCACTTTAACCGTTTGTCGAGGTAAGGCATTTCAAAGCAGAATTGAATCATATTGTAAAAACGGAAAACCGTTCATGCTAAGAAAAATGCACAAATGTTATTCTATTATAAAATGTATCTACACTTCAAAAGAATATGCTGTCACCAAAAGATTACATTCACTTAACACATTTTACCGTACAAAAATAGTGACAATATATAAATGGGTCAAGCATATCTAAAGGCAATATTTAGTTAATTGAAATGTTTCAGTTTTAATCATCTCTTTGTTTGCCTTTTCTTAAAAAAATTATCAATAATAATTATACCGATAACGTTGATGTATAGTTCAGAAAAATGACCTCGCAATTGATATAAGATTAAATTGTTGAGCTACATAATCTTTTTTCACTAAAAATGCTTAAAATGTTTCGTTAATAATAACAACAATCCTACCTTTGCCATACATTTAAGAACCCTGTACAAACATTTACAAAAAGAGTTTGGTCCCCATAGCGTTTGAATCTACACCTGTTTGTAAAATGTCTTTGTTTTCACTCTGAAAATATATATTCTTCTGAAAGAGGACTTCGAATACGCTATGATAAATCAAATAAAACAAATCAAGTAAAATGATAATAAACAATAAACCAACAAATTATTAATCGGACAAGTAGATCAATATTAAAATAATAACTGTACCACGTACCCTGTAAGAAGGGAACGGATTAATGTTAAACTGTATATGACAAATATTTTTTCAGGTGGATTTCAGTATATTATGTCGACAGGAATATCAGTCCCGACATCAAGTGACGTAAAGCCGAAAGAGATCAACATTTATATGAAGGCTCAGGTATTTAATTGTGCTCAATCATTAACTTACCATACGAAATATATATATATCCTAATGTATTTTTAATGCGAATTGAACGCGTGCAGAACATCGGCAGAGCAAACAAGTCTCTACTCGGTAGACGCTCAATAACTTCAAATATATTTTTGGCATCAAAGCGAACGCAGCTATTTTTGCCTCGCGTGTAGCATAACACGGAAGTTTTCGATCTTTTACTTTTTCTTGCGTCATGGATGGAAATGATTTGGATTTAAACAACAACAAGTATACTCTTTTCGCTCCAAACTTGGTTATTAGTTGCAATGGTTAAGGTTAATCCAACTATAGGCCGTTTTCTAGTAAAGGGAAACAGCCTAAGTCTTAAACTGTCGGACTTTTCTGAGTTAGGAAATTTGATAAGTGACAATATTGATGAAAAATTTGCCAGATTTTAGTCGCAATTCTCAGGGAAGTTTACCTGGTAACATTCACTTACCGTCTAACGTTAATAATACGGGACAGAATACAGGACAAGTATTTCTTATTAATTTTCAAATTCTTCTGATGGTTATTATCTGGCTAATTCCTTGGCTTAAGTCAAGGTCAAAGACGAGAGTCCTCAAGGGGAAGCTTGCAGACCCATTAGACATGATGATATATTTTCTGTACCCCCAGGTGAGTCGGAGCAAAATCTGTTGAGTATGTCAAGTGATTCTGACGGATATTCCTTGATAAGTGATATCACTCCGTTACATGTTGAAAATGAAGTGAGAAATGATCACTTTTAAAAAAAATCACCTGCGGAAAGTGGCCCAACAATTTGTCTAATACCAAAAGAACTTCAACCGCAGATTATCAAGCAATATGAATTGCACCACTGTGGTCGAGTAGACATTGGTACACAACATTACTACAGGGAATGTTGCTGTTCATAAATATGACATTTTATTCCTGATGCAAGGATTGTCTGACCTGGACATTCAGGAAATAGAATTTGGGTTCCAGCATTTGTTGACAATAGAAAATTAGATCCCCAGAGAGCAATAGCAGTTTATTTAAGAAAAACTGAACAGTTAAGATCAAGAAGTAATAATGATCAAACCAGTTTATTTTTATGTTTCAAAAAGCCGCATGAATAGAAATAGACTTTAGCTTATTGGATTGTGAACACAATTAGAAAGACATTAAAGGTCAAACTCATTCAACTCGTGTAATCGGTCTATCTTCAGCTTTATTTAAAGGTGCATCAATGGCATCAATATTGGAAGCAGCTGACTGGACCGTGAATCCACTATTTTTAATTTGAAAAACGGAATGTTCGAAGTAATATTTCGGGCGTGTTGCTGATAGTCAGGTTTTTATTGTGGTATTTGGTATTTTCGAGAAACGATTGCATGTGTACATATTATAAACTACATGTAGATAGGGGTTTGGTGATGAAGATTCCAAATCGTGTATATATATTGTATATATGATTGAATGCCAAGCAAGATTTATGTTGCTTTATATAAAGATGCTTAGACTTGGACTACGATGAGCATGTATAAAATTATGGTTTTGATATTAATGATTTCTGTTTGGAAAGAGGAAGAATACTACCACAACCATAAGGTGTGTGATGCTTTGTAATATTTCCGAATGTATATTTGTATGGTACGTTGATAATTGAGTGAAATGAAATTTAAAAATTTGTTATCAAGTTATAATTTTTATGAAGCAGATTATTAACTTACCTAACCTATTACCACCAACCGCCCCTAGTATTTTCTATAAGGTGTCGCTTTGACACCTGTATAAAGTAGAGATTTGTTTGTTATGCTCTACTGATATTCTGGACGTGTTCGATTCGCTTTAACCGGAGTATATCCTAATATATTTTTCGTATGGTAAGTCAATAAGCTCATTCATTAAATTGATAACATTTTTTTTTTAATTCTTCTTCTCTGATTTTGTTATCTAAATATGCAATTTTCCTATTCATCGATATTTTAAATGAGAAAGAAATATATAAATATATCACAACCAATATTTTTATTCAAAACGAAGCCAATTATACCTAAAATATATTTTGCTAACATGTCTGGATTTATTTCACAGATAGAAGCAATATATACAACAAAGTTTCATAATCAGCATGTTCGTGTAGAAATAATATCTGTTATAAGAGTTGATAGTGGAAAAAGGCGAAAAAGGTAGGCAAGTTTGAAGACATATTTTAGCATTTTTGTATTCTTGTAATAGTAAAATCCATACATTGCTAGACGTTTGTTGATACTTAAAAATTGGCCAAGATATGATATAAGTTTTACTAGATGTATTTTAATACTTTTTTGTCTTTGACGGCCTATATATGAGATGTGATTTATTCAACTTGTGTTCTGATATTTTTTATAACAAAATGTCGTGAGACCTAGTTATTTACTTTATTTAATGAAACGGAACATACAAGTTTTATTATATATATATATATATATCAGCGAATCATTACTATAATGATGCAATAAATTACCGGTATCTCATTTTATTTACAGACAGGCTACGGAGAGCTATGAGATAGATTTCGTCGTGCATTTCAATCAATCTATCCCCCATGAAAACATAAGTCAGGCATGGACAGAATATATTAAACACAATTGTTCTACAGGAAGCAATGTAGGATGTCCCGCGCCAAAAAATGTACGAGCATTGCCTGTTGTCTTTGAAAGCAAAATTAGCATAACAAAAGGTTTGCAAAATTTAAGAATTTATTTCATTTGGTAAATAAGGTTAAAAAATAAACAACATTTTAAATATTTATTTGAACCGTTTTCTTTGGTTCTTGACAAGTCACGATGGCCTTTAAATTTGAATGGTTTGTCTTAAAAAGTTAATGTAACCTTATTTGCTTAACCTATGATAGATCCAGATATAATGCAACTTATCCGAATGTTTCTATCAACTCAACCAACCGTAATCTGTCATTTTCATCGTCTTATAAAAAAACAATATCAAAGACCTTGGTCCCTATGGTGACATTAGAAAAGAGATCATAAATGTGTCTAAATGTAGTAGTGCGCCATACAAAGAACAAACGAAAAGTTTAAAAAGCAGCACAATTTAAACGTTTGAAACTGTATGTTTTAACAGCATACATAAGTACTCTGTACTCAAGACAATCCACTGCAAATTTATAAATAGATATGAGCTAGCAAACACATAACCTCATAGAATTATGATCTGAATACCGGCGATAAACACTTATGAAACGTTTGTAAAATTATAAGGCAGTTATCTAAGTGGACAATTAAAAGAATTACAATAAAATGATAAGGAACCAATTTTAGAGATCATGAAATATAACTAACGAAAAAAAAAAAAATTAAGTACTGTTTTGCATTACTTTGTTTACATTTAACTATAATTACAAAATAACACAACTAAATATTTCGCAGACATTGATCAAGTTAGCTTCTTGTGTAATTTATAAAGCATTTATTGACAATTCTAGTACCACTTATGCTTCCCATATATCGGATTAAATATCCATACCATACAATTCCTTTAAATTAAATACATATAATCCACCCACATGTAGTATATAATTTTACAATAAATGTAAATCATTTAATCATTTACTTCTTATGATTAAATGCAAGGGAATTACTTCTCATAACAACACATAATATTCGATATGCCCCATTGCAAAATAAAAAAAAACCTATTCTACGTAATGAGATGGACGTATTTTCTTTTCATATCCTAGATAAATATACACTTGCATGTGGTTAAATCGTTTTAAGTATATTTATTGCAATTTAACTTCATATAAGTGTAACGCAGATATTGTTTACTTTTTTATTTAAGATCAATCAGCTGCCCTATGTAATCTAGATAAATATAACCATTGTGACCCGGACACCTCAACTTGTCACTTTGTGAATGGAAGCGCAAATTGTGACTGTAAAAAGGGTTACACAAAGAATGATAAACAATCGAATTTAACGTGTGAAGGTACGTTTTATATTAGTTAAACCTCACCAAGTTATTGATTGGAAGATCGTTAATGTACGAATCATTTCGTAAAGCCCGACTTGTCTAGTTATGTCTCGACTATTTATCATTAATATGCTTATAATACAGGTATGACTTTGAACTTAAAAAAATATTTAAATCACATAGTAGACCAAATGTGACATATTTTCATGTCGCTTGGCCCTCATATCTACTTTAAATCTTATTTGGAATTTACTTTCACTGGAAAATCTCTGAAATATGTAAAGGCATTTATTTTACCTATATACCTTAGTAATCCGAAGTTAACATCTATTGTTTGCATGTTTTCATGGTAGGGCCTCTTTTGACCAATCCAATGCCTTGATTATGATAAGTTTTATCGCTTGGACCGCATGGACAAAGTGTAATTATACCCTTATAGTGAACGTAGATAGGAAATTAATGTTGGGATACAGAAATTATTCACTTGCTTCCACGATTAGCAACAAATCGTCGTTGTTCAAGGAAACTGTCTCGAAAAAAGGTGCACAAAAGCTTTGAGCTTTTATCCTTACCACAATCAGACTTAAATTGAATTATTAGTGATTTACTTAAACAACATGAAACATTATAATCATGAATTGTCATCAACGAAATGGAACACAATTAAAGTTCAAAGTTCATTATGGAGCATGTTACAAGCATTAAATCGTATTAAAAACGAAGATGATAATTTCATTATTCACAATTACTCATTCTTTGGATTTTGCATGTTTATTTGGATTTGTTTTACGAATAATATTTATAATGACATAAATTTATCTCTAAAAAATCTTGTATATGCCATAAGATGAATATAAATAAACTACACAATTATGTTTCAGTATCTAAAGATGCATGTCAGCAAAGTCTATGTAAAAATAGTGGTACATGTCGGATGTCTCAAGGCAATAAGAGTTTTGAGTGTTTGTAAGTATATAGTGACTAAGTAAATGTTGAAGTAGTAGGATAGATATTCTTTTAACAAGATGGTCGTAGGCTATTGCCTTACAAGGTCAGGATCAGATTTTCACGTTTAATTTTTCAAGCAAACGGTGTATCTCTCTCTTGCGAACTGAGAGAGAGATTTAAATTAGCTTGAAAGTTTCACTGTTTTATTAGTTAAACAATTTTGTTAAATCTAATTATACTATTGTAGATAAAAAATAATTATTGGTAAATAAGTCCTATTTCCATCTTGAATTTTTGAAGCTATTCAAAACCGTTACATTAAATAATAACTGTGTTTAAAGGGCTTACTATGTACTGAAGATGATAATAAGCTGAAATGTATTGAGTGATTCAAAGAAATATAAAAACGTGTGTTATCACAAAGTAAATTTATTTGAACACGCACTCGCAGTTACAATTAACAACAGTGTTAAGCGAAAAAAAAATATAAAGAATTACATTTTAGATAACAAGGGATTGATTTTATTTTGCTGAATGTATCACTCTTTAACCGACCAATGTTGGTTATATTTAAGATGCCGTGATGGTTGGACAGGGAAATATTGTGAGGATGTCCAAGTTTCTAAAACTGGTATGAAATATTTGGTTAAAGAAATTTTGCCTTATGGGGGTACTATCTGTAATAGATATATGGTGTTTACGTATTTATAAAAATCATTCGCTCAAGCCTATTATGCTTTAAAAAAAGCAACCAATTTTACTTTTTACAATCTGTTGTTTTTGATATATCTTATTATTTTTCAAAGTTATAGACATTTACTATATACGTGTCAGACATTTCTAAAGACTTAAAGAAGAAAAATCTTTCTCCGAGGCATAATGTTCATTCATATAAATCTATTTAAACGTAACGATTATCCAAGTTGACTTACAAGTGACGTTACACACGTGCAGTATTATAGTTTTTGTACATGTAATTGATCCACTTGTCTCTTTCGTATATTTTAAGTTTTCCGCTTAAACATTAGGTTTTCACTATATAAATAATAACTCTACACAAACATTTTATAATTTTATCAAAGATTACCTTACATTTATCTTTTATAAAGAAGCTATTTTTGATTATTCCATATCTCATTTTTTTTTTAAATAAACATATACAACAATGTATACGAAGATGGAAACAATATTAATATTTCTTTGTGATTTATGCAAATTTAAAAATCTTATTTAGCTATATTCTATGTTTACAAACTTAGATAAAAAATATTTTCTTTTTATTCCTTTCTGTATGCAAATATGAGAAAACAAAATACACATGTATGTGTTAATGATTTATTTAACTTCTACGTTCACATCAAAGAATAAAGAAGGTTTTTTTTTCTAGATGATAAAGATGATAAAACGATTCTTATTGCAACAACCAGCAGTCTTGGTGGACTTGTTATAATATTGGCATTAGCAATGATAATACTCTGCAGGTATAAAATATATTTACACATACATATTGTCACAAACAAATTTCTAATAAAATTATGTTGAACGTATGCCAATAAGTTTATTCTGGGCTTTGTTGATAATTGGTTCCGATATGTAAAGTGTTTGGAATTGAATATCGGATAAGCCGGTGCCTGAGGTGAGAAATATACATGTTCATATTCTTCCATACACAATGCCGGTAAAATACAAGTTTTCAATACCCTTACCAGATCGCTTCTTTCTAAGTTGTTAAATATGTTTTGCCTTAACTGATTCATTGCCAAGCTAGATCCAAACATAATTCTTAAGAACGCTGAAAAAGGCAAACTTGATAACATGGCAGACTGTTTATAGGCAAAAAACCAGCTTCAGCAAAAACAATTTTTGACATGTTTATGGTGAAAATTAGAATTTAAGAAAAATGCGTAGATCACGTGGTTATCATGGATCTTTTATTGTGTCACGTAAGTGCCAGTTCACGATCACAGACATATGGTCTCCAATGAAAGAAAAGCTTGTAGGATAATCTAAATTAAAAGGACGTTTGAAAAGGAACAATACACATTTTTACCAGACGTTGCTAAAACTTATTTTAATGGTTTAGATTCAAATCAAAGAAGAGTGAAGACGACAAAATGTCCCTAAAACATATGGATGCCAATGGTTTTAAAAGTTTTGACGGCGCCCTCCTTAGAAATCGATTTGTAGAGGATGACGACGATGGTGTGGGATCATATTACAGCCGCAGGTTACACTCTTTATTCATATCATTAGAAATCTAAAATGCATAGGTGTAAATCTGCAAAGCACTCCCGTATTATAAAAGGAAACGGTTAAATCATTCATAAATCAAGCAATTTTAGTTTACAAGTGTCACGTTGTATATGTTTTGTCTATTTTATGGATAGAACATTCTTTAGTTATATGGTTGATATCATGAGAAACAAACAACTTCTCATCTATTTTTCTTACCATTGTCTTTTGTTAACGGCTTCAGAAATTTATTGTGTTGAATTCTTCCTCGTACATTTGCAAGGATTTAAAATTTTGCAAGTATGACTTGGAAAAATAATTGTGTCAGTATTTAAAGTAAAATTTGCAAATCGAAGGGTAAATTGTGAGCCTATTGGTCAAAGGGTAGCATTACAAAAAGAACCTTATGCCATTTTTTCAATTTTTCATTAATGTGCACAAAAACGTAATCACAACCGATTGTGATTAATGGAAAATCAATACATACCTTCAGAATGTGTCTGTAATGTTCAGCGAATGATATAAAGAGTAGGCCATTTATCATATTAGATTTAAGCCCGTTACTTTGTTTTTCCTTATTATTTGTATGCCAACTCCAATAATGTCATGCATTAAGTGATTTAGAAAAAAATATTTGTATATATGTTAATATTTATCAGATAATGTATCAATTGTAAGGTTTTGTTCCCCAGCTCAAAGATTAAGGCCAAACTAAAATGTCATAGATCGGTATTTAAATGATCGGCAAATAACTCTTAATATGTCAAAATACCCTGAGGGCAGCCGTGTATTTGAGATTTCTAGTTTACATCTGTTTGCAGGCTATCGAGTTCGTCTATGCCTTACGGACATCAAAATAGACTAAGTGGGAGCGGTAATCAGAACGGATTTGCTCATAATGGGCTTTATGCAAGTCCAAATAAACTTCCGAGGGCAAATATTCACGGATCTATGCCAAACCTAGCAGGTAATGGTACTTCATTTAACCATTTCGATGACCGCCGATATTCTGGCGATGAGGCAAGGCATGTGTTAAGCTACAACCAAGGTTTAAATCGTAGTTATGACATTGACCTACGAGCACCAAGAAACAATTGGAACGGCCGAAGATCGCCCCCACCAGATTATGGAAGGCCAAGGTCCCCAAAGCCAGATTATCATGGAAGGAAATTTAACAGATCCAAAGACAGCGGAGTGGTAAGTGAAAGTTTGTTACGTATTACCATTGAAAGACAAAATATAGAAATTGAAACAAATAGTATACTGTAAGGATTTGTATTGACACTGAAAGCCAAGTATCGCACAATGAAATTCTTTCAGAAGGTATTGCATTCAGTTAAAACGCGAATACGTTTAAAGGTCAAAATCACATGTTAAATTCATTTACAGATATACTATGCTCATCCTTGAGTAAATTATTGTAATCACAAAGGTATAGAAATCAAGTATATTAAAGCTGAATATGTCAAACTTGAAAAAAATAATGAATAAACTATGTACAGGACGTTGTGTTCCCTATAACAGGACAAGTAAAGTTGATCTTCTCCAATAAAAAATAGCCAATTTTTTAATGACACTATATATTTATATGGTGACCACCTACTGTGTATAGAATTTTAAACATTACATAATCACTTACTGTGAAGTCAAAATATGTGCAAAACCGGCTGTGTAAAGAAGACGGACATTATTGAATTTTAGTTTTAGGAATATACCTACGTCTTTATCTGCATACAAAAACTACAAGTAACATCATTTTCTAAAGTCATGTTTTCCGAAGAAAAGGGATAGTTTTTGCGCTATCGAAGGGGTTGAAGTCGGTTCCGTTGTTCTATCAATAAGTTTTAGCGTACGAATACGTGTTAGCGTAAGAATGGGTTACATCAAAACTACTGAAAGGAATGGGTTAAAATGTGTTCACCCTTGTTCTCCGTCGTGATAATCTAACATAATTTGCACAGGTTCCATTCATCTCATTCCTTACTGTGTGCATATTTGTGCACCTTATAGACTAATGAGTTATTGCATGTAAGCTCAATTCCTCAAACTATTGAAGGGGAAGTAATATAAACTTCACATGTTGTCCTTTGTATCTTACATTATTAACGCATGTCCAACTACTCTGTTTGCTTTTTTACAAAATTATGTTACTTTTGAGCTCGTCAATTGCAAGTGATATTTTTTGACTTAATTAACAACCCTAGAATGTCAAAACGACCAACCGTCTGAATTACAATTTCCATCAGTTTCACCTTTGGCAACAGTACATAAAGCGCACTATTCCCTGTCAAAGATGACAACCGATCCTTAGTGTCTAGTCTGTATGTACTTGTTTGAATTTAACAGCCTTTAAACATTTAAAGTTATTCGTTATTTGTTTATTAAATAAACGCCCTAACATTATTTCGAAGGGCTTTCTAAATAATTATTTAACGGGGCATTTGTAATTGTTTCAGGGAAATGGCAACAGCAGCGAAAGCAACGAATATCAACGTCAAGAGAATAGAGGGCGACACTACTATTATGGACAAAGGCAGAGTACTAATTTTTAGAAGCAAATAAGGCCTTGTCTTTTGCCCCCACAGTTACCGCGTCCCATTTAAACAATTGTCGCTTGGTAATTTAGTAATTTGAATGCGCAGTTCAAACTACTGTTATAAACGATTGAGCTAATTAGTATATGGATGTTTTCTACTTTATATTTTAAAGCAAAATAAAGGAATGAAACTAAGTACCTAACACTTTATCAGAAAATTAAAGAACCAACGTACACACGAATACTACACTTACTTTATGTGTAACAAATCAAATTTATGTAACATAAAACATTTATGATCAATGGTCAATGAAATGCATACGTAATGTAGAATGTTACATCAGAATGTAAATTTACAAATTTAACTTTTCTGCAGTGAACAGTTTTTTTTTTTATATAAAACGACTGTATTTAATTTTTTTTCTGATAAAACGCATACAAAATTCCAGACTGTAGTACGATGCATTGATGCCATTCTATTTTCGTATTGTTTATAATGTTTCTGTTTATTTGTTGTAAATTTTAGTCGTCTTACGTAATAGCTTAGTATTATTACAATAAAATTATATAAATATATAATTAATGCACACTCTTGAATAATTAAATGATGCAAAAGAATAACTTCGTCCATGTTGTTTTAGTTTCAGTTTAGGTTTCATATTCTTGTTTCTTACTGTTGTTAATGTTTTAATGCTGATTTTTCTTTGCTTTTATTTGCGTGATACTTCATTGAACTTGTTTAAACCTGACATAAACTTTATATCGTGTTTGTAGCTATTAAGCTACCATTTATAAGTAAAGAATATGATTTTCAGGTGCCAGCTTCCAACTCAAACTTGTATATAACTTTAAGGCATTTAATGTCTTCAAACACTGGTACTCATTAAAAATTCATTGGCAGGTCCAACGAAAATGAAAAACATGGAATCAACCTTTGGTTCGTAATTCACATCATTTAATTACGATATTGCAAGTTATAGCAATGCTATCTCATACAAATGTGTTTATTGTCTTCAACTTTGTGTGTTCGTTGAATGTTTATGATGACTTCTAGCATACTTAAATTTTTCCATCGCGTAATTCACTCTATCATAGGTTCTTTTAAAAAACTTCAACATTTACAATATATTGCATCTTATTCACACGTCATAGTAGTCTGATTTACAATATAATGCATTAAAGTAAATTGAAATCACTTTAGAAGAAAATTAAAGCATTTTGAAACGCTGTTTGTGTTTATGTGTCCCGTTTGTTTTGCAATGACTCATATTATTTTTGACTAAAAGCAATGTTAATAAAAAATAAGACAAAATTAAACCTCAATTGTTTTTTGTCTGGTTCTAGATGTTGTATTGTTAATTTGTTTTAAGAAGCATATAATCATGCACACGGATATGAAATATTGGTTCAAGTCTAATTTTCATTTTAGAATTTTCGTAAGTTTGCTGGACAATCCAATGTGTTCGAAGGCGCATGAAGGATCAGAAATACATATTGTGTTCTGCCTTTCAATGGGCAAAACATGTCTTAAATAATGATACGATAATGAATTAAGAGCATATTTATAGTACAATCCTTGTCAATGGTTATCATACGAAATTAGATAATGTAGGTCAGTAATATGGATTAATAAGTTTAAGAGCACCTGTGTGCAGAAACTTAAACAAGATATACCGTACGGTTTACGAGTTATTGACACTTTTCTGAATTATAGCTTGGAAGGATTATTAATCAAAAATGAGGAACTCTGTAATGTTTGTCTAACTTGTCTATATATTTTCCTCGTGGTTATTGTAATGAATAAATGATCATACAGCTAACAATTCACATAAAACATGATTGTTTCTACTCAAATGTTTGAAATATGTATAATCTGTTACTTTACTCCACCCGTTTTAAAATCTGGAAACAAAGTTGATTAAAGACTTGCTTGACAAGGTTCCTACCGCAAGTTCATTAAAATAAGAGGCTGCTTTTAAAGCTTGCCTTATATATATTGGTTGTTTTTGTCAGATACTTAGTACAACTTTAACCGTGTCCAAAATCAAAAACTTAAAATGAGCAAAACATTAGTATTCTTTATTGAGTTTTGAATCTGTAACAGGACGATTCTGGGAAGTGGTATCAAAATTTATGAGCCTTAATATTGTATAGAAAATATACCAAGTTGACATTCTTATTATTAAAATATTGTATCATATTTTATTATACTGCTTGAGAATGTTTAAAAGTCACATTGAAGGTTATGCAGCTTAAATGCTTCATTATGCCTCAGAAACACTTCCAATCGTATTTCTAAAAACCTTTTTATTTTTGTTTCTATTGTCGTTTCGGAAAATACCAATGGTTTGCCATGTACAACCGTACATAACTTTTGCTACTTTTGTTTTCTTGGCAATTGGTTTATAGATTTTATATAAAAATATAGTAGATAAGTAATTAAATGGAAGTCAAAATACTTATATTATACATTTTGATAACTTTGCAGCATGTAACTGCATATTCAGCATTATTTCCTTCAGTTGTTTTATATCTTGAATTATTTCAGCATTATTGAACAAATGTTTGTCATTCTAAAGAATTTCAAATAATTTATATGAATTTCCGAGGCATAATGTGCCTTTACAGAAGAGGCTTAGACATTCCTGAAGTCACATATTGAGTCTTGTCATGTCATTTGTAAATATTTCATACTTTATTGTTTATATCTAATTAAATATCACAAGGTGCCAATGTGCAATATGTGTGTTAATTTATCAATATGTGTGTTTTCATAATACATATTTGACTGTTTAATTATGTTAATAATGAATGTAATGTAAACTGTACAATACTATATATTTTTGTTTTAAATAAGTTTTCTCTTTTGTGTGTGAGGGGGTGAGTGTTTGTTTGATACTTTTTATTTGTGTCGGCGTTTGTTTTTTGTCTTTTGTGTAGAATATATTTTCTTCTCAGAAACGTTACAAGCTAATTACTCGATTTGTTTTCCAAAAGCTGATCACTTTTCTGCCCGTTAAAAGCAAAAAAGAGATAGTATGAAAATTCTTATGTAACTTATGCATAGCAATCAATAATAACGTACCATACCGGATATAATTAACTTAAACCAAGTTTAATGGCGCTCCTAAATACTTCTATAGTCATAAAGAATAGGAAATTGGGTTTTTGTTTGAAACGATAATTTACTGTCTTAAATGGAAAAGACGAACAAATATCGTGTATTGAGGCATGACTTTATAATTGAGTTTTTATTTCACTTATTTGTAACATCGTCTGTATTATTAAACTGTTAAACAGTTTCAATTGACACCAAGAAATAAATGTGTTCAAATGTTATATGTTTTAAGAAACATGTTCATTGCTAAATAATAATATTCATTTGGGTGAAGTATATGTAATACCTGTGTACCTTTATGTAACATTTTATGTCCTAGACTAATAAAATTATCATATCTAATGCATTCGTTTTTTTGTTGTTTTTTTTTCTATAATTCATATTTTGTATAATCACTTGTGGCGCTGTAAGATTTGTATTCGGTGCCTTAGTCGGTAATTAGTCTTATAAAGTTCATAAAAAATTGATAAATTCTGCAGTTAATAAATGCATATTGACACATAAGCGAAATTTTGGATCAGGACATCTTTTCACTTAGATGAAAGATTCAGGATTAAAATCTTTGTTTTAAAATTGCCTAAGTCGGTAATTAGTCTTATAAGTTTATAAAAAATTGATAAATTCTGCAGTTAATAAATGCATATTTACACATAAGTGCAATTTCGGATCAGGCCATCTTTTCACTTAGATGAAATGAAAGATTCAGGATTAAAATCTTTGTTTCAAAATGTAACCAATTTGTTAAGTTGTAATTTTTACCTTGAATGCTATCCTTACATTAGACTTGAAACAGGGTAAAATATATTAGTATTTAAAAAAGAAAATATTTCATAACTGCTTTAAGTGAACTACAAATTGGAAAAATGATCAAAATGTAGTTCTTCATACGTAAATTGATTCTTACTTTGATATAGATTTATTGAACTCGCATTTTAAATTATTAACTCATTTACAGTGCGTACGTCGGTATATGTTTCAGAAGCAATGAATATAATGTCAGGATCATTTGTTGGTTTCTTTGCGAACAAGTGGCTAGGTTTTAAAGTCTGACTCATTTTTATCTTGCGTCATTCCATGAATGATATTTAAACAATATTGGAAATTAAAGCACTTTATACTCGTCAAAAAAGGAGCACGACATTGATTTTAAAGGAAGATAAATGTTGATTTTTCTGTGATTAAATTGCCTCAATGAATGCAAATTAATATCGTTGACTGATAAAAAAAGACAAAAATCGAAAAGGAAACATAATATGCAGACAGTTGCTTGTGTTTCGGTTTGTGCACTGAAAGAAATCAAATAGTAGCTGTCAAGTTCGAACAAACAGGCAACAATATAAATTTATAGCAGTTTTGTAATATGGCTAACAAATTGGAAGTATTCGACCAATCTAGGTAGAGATGAAACTCATATAAAGCACATATAAAAGTTAACGAATATGATAAAAACAAATGTTGATGGTAGGTATGATTATAACTTTTACTATATTTACAAGATTGACTACGGCAACGAAGATGATGATGATGATAAGTATTATGATACTTAAGATGATAACGATAGTTATTATTATTATTATAATTATAATTGATATTATTATTATTATTATTATTATATTTATTATTATCATTTTTATTGTTGTTATTATTATTATTATTATTGTTATTATTATTATTATTATTATTATTATTATTATTATTATTATTATTATTATTATTATTATTATTATTATAATCATTATTATTATTCTTATTATTATTATTATTATTATTATTATTATTATTATTGTTGTTATTATTATTTTATTATTATATTCATTATTATTATTATATTTATTATTATTATTATTATTATTATTTTTATTATTATCATTATTATTATTATTATTATTATTATTATTAATTATTATTATTATTATTATTATTATTATCATTATTATTATTATCATTATTATTATTATTAGTAGTAGTAGTAGTAGTATTCACTCAATTAGGCACGTCACAAACTTACCATAGACATTGTATTAGATTTTGTGTCAAGATTGATGTCAAAAAAGCTATAATAAACTTGCGTGTTGAATGACTTCTTTAACGTCGTGGATTTGACACATTGAACATGCATCTTTTGTATCGGGGATGATTGGTTGACCTGTCGTGACAAACTCGAGAGGGAGTGGTCCTTCAAACTGTTGGTTTGGAAGAGATATACCGGGATGTTGTAATCATCACCTCCTGTGGTTAACATATTGATCACAAAATAGGACTCGCAGGGAGATTGACCTAAAAAAGACGCCCCCCCCCCCCGATGAGGAAACAGATGTGGGCCGGCATGGGCACTGATGTCCAATATGATTGATTTCGAAGCGGAGCAATGAGTACGACTTAAAAAACACAAAAGTATTGAGTTAAAAAGCTTAGCATTAATGAATGTTACTTTACACATTGTAGCCTTATAACAAAATGAAGATGAAACAGTGCAAAAATGAATATGTAAATTAAATACTGTTTCATTATTTCATATTTGTTTATATACGAGTAGAATTTCTAAGAAAATAGAATGCGTTACCCAGTCTCTCGTGTAATGATAACCGATATATGCTGAAAAATAACTGAAAATTAAAATAAATTAATAACACAAAATGCTATTTCTTAATATGTGTATCATTCAATGAATTGAATTTTCTTATATTTCCTTGAATATTTGGGTAATTTTTAAAGATTTCAGAATAAAGAATCTATGATCAATAGTTCTAGGTTGAATTATCTGTTTCCCTCATAAATGAACAGTCAAACAACGATAGTAATATTCGAGAAAGACATTTAATGAACACTATATGTACTATGTTGAAGAAATACAGTTTAGAAAAATATAACTCAAAACGTTCTGTTTTTCTTTTTATTTTCCGCCGAACACTTTCACTAAATGTCACGTATGTTTTGGACAGTCTGTCAGCGACAAATCTTTATGTATCTTTACATTGTCATTGAGATGATTTACCTGCATTTTAAGATTGTAATGAAATATAAATGATCGGATAAAATGCTAAGTAGTGCTATAAAAAGATAAAAAGTTTTGCAAGGAGGACATACACTTTTATCTTTGCAATATGAGGACAATCTTGAAGAATACTTTCTTATCATTGTGTTTTTTTTTTCTAAATATTTTGTGTGTCAAAAAAGTAATTATCCATTACATACTTTTATACAACATATATCGATTGGATTGGAAAAGATTTGCAAATACTATATTAAATCTTGTATGGTGTTGAATCTTTTGCAGGACGGTGAAATTTTAATTAACTCAAAGCTATACTCTCTATTAATAAGTAAGTTTGTAAATTAATTGACAAATTTTAACGATAGTTTCTTTTTACTTTGGATTTCATGTTCTTTCTTTCTATTAATCTTTTTTTTTCGTTCTTCATTTTACTTTCTTTATTATTCTGTTTTCCATTTCATGTAGTTGCAATTGTTTTGTCTGTCTAAAATGTTGAATTTTTTTTGTCTGTCTATTAAATGGTAGAGGTTGTTATCTTTTTTTCAATGATGATCAATGCTGCCAGTGGTATTTCATGTTACCTTTACCTTAGTGGCAACTAATTATTAACGTAAAGTCTCAAAATGAAAGAAACAATACGAACGGACTATACACTGCATAAAGGATCCCCAATCTTCTGTTTCTGTGTTCCATACTTTTATCCCCATTATTGTCCGTATTTTGTGGCAAGAAAATCATGCAAGTAATCATTACTTTCGAGAGATAACTTTAACACAACAAGTAGGCAAATCTTTTCATTTAGCATCATAAATATTTACTTTTATATCATTAATATATGAAATTATGAAAGGAACTTAACTACATCTGTTTAAGGTAATGATTACTATTAAAATGATGATATTATTGATTTTGAGATAAAATTTGTCCTTCTATTTAAGTACCAGATAAAGTCTGCCGACCTGGCGGATAATGATAAAGGTTATCAGTTTGAATGCAAATACCGTGGATGACAACTCTAAGTGTTGTTACGCATAGGATAGAGGTATCCAAATCACCAGGTGCATACGAATGGGAAATAACCATATTTCCAAAACTGTTCTAAATTGTAAGAGCACAGAGTGATTAAGAGAGTAAGACTGAACTTGATAAAAGCAAATACGGACTGGTATAAAAAAGCTTTTTGGATGTAAATATCACAAAGAATGGATTTATTATTGTTAGTGAGTCTGATCCCTTTGTTACCGCTTGAAATAGTAAAAGGAGACTACGGTATGTATTGTTGTTGTTTTTTGTTTATTTGTTGTTATTGTTGTTTTTTGCAAACTCTTTAAATCATTAAACTTAATAATCGTTTAGTTAACACAATCATCTTATCGATATGATATGTGTAAAAACGGAGTTGTATAATTTTTAATATTATAACTATTATTATTATTATTATTATTATTATTATTATTATTATTAGAATTTAAGCTAAATGTTACGTTTATTCACTCTTAAACTAACACGTCATTGATTAATAATTTCACAATAATAATATTTGTATTGATATTTAAATATAAAATATGCTACAAAAATAGATTTGCGTTTGTTTCACATGCTATGATGTATACATATGGTTTTTTCATGTTTTTTCCACATTCAAGTTTCAAGTCATGCAGCATGACGTCATTTATGAACTGGAAGTCAGACGGCAATTTTGATATGTCTAATCATGCTATTACTCGTAGTTTTGTACAAAGGCATAATAAAATAATCAGATATGTGTCTTCGCTTCCAGAATTAAATTAAACACATTAAAAAACATGTAAATTAAAAACGTCATGCTTGACTCACATGTTTTAGGAAAGGTGAATTGTGTATTGGTAGCTAGGGTGTTTGTTATCACACATGTGTCATAGAAGCCGTCGCTGAAAATTTTTATTCCCGTTTTTTCTTTACAGGTACTTAAAAGTCAAAAATTTGTCATGTCCCATACCTAGCAATATTTCTTTCAATAAAAATCTGGAAACAAAGTGATCACAACAAAATTACATAAGAATTGCAGACTTGATTGATTGAGTCTGTACATGAGGGATAATGAATAAGTGCAACATCCCTTACGCCCCCCTAGCACCGGCTTGAGCGATACTCAATTCTCAACATTTAATAGTGCTGGCATCAATGATCCAGAAGCACCAGAAAAATATAACATAAATATAAATTTAAAATATACCCTTTTTAAATCATAAAACACCAAGACCATTTAACAACAGCATTAATGCAGCAAGATGTCATTAAACGTATTTATTTATGAAACAATAATGAATAAATATGTAAAGTAAAATCGACTTTGAATGGTTGTCATATTTTCCATATAAAACAGAGCAGTACATGATTTTAAGGTAACATAATAAAATTCATATAAGAGAGGCTTATGTGCTCTTATCAAAACTTTTTGGGATTTTTTATAAATATATGCACGTTGTAGTTTTTCGATGAAAATGCTATCAAACAATGGAAGTCGACCTTTTGGGTTATCAATAGAGATGGGCAGAAAATCAGTTACATTAAAAAATGTTAGAAATTTTAATTTATCAGGAAACCTTCAAAATGATAAAAACTACAGTCAACATTGGAATGTCATTTTTATCATTACTGAATTGATTTGATTTGGCGTGGCATGGTAGTTAATAACACAAATATGGAATGTGAAGGAAATAGGATATTGATTTGGTTGTGTCAATATGTCCATTAGTAACCACAGGAATTTGTTATTGGATAAAATATTTCAGGTCATAAAATTGAATAACAATACGTGATAAAAATATATACAAATATTAATTCAATAATATTAAACATCTTCATTACTCGCATATAATTAAGCTTTGTAACAATAAATAGGTATAAGATCAAGATAACAAATTATTATTTTATTTTATTCTAAGTTGATTACAGTTAATAATGATATTTAAAAATAAAAAAATAATCAAAGAAAAGTTATCATATAAATGAATGCAATAGATTTGAAATGATATTTACAAGTGCCAAAAAAGAGGCCTCTCCAGTTTAAAATGTTACTATTCTATAACAAGCGATGTTTATCGCAATCGTACAATGGCTTAAAACGTAAACATGAAACGACACAGCCGTGCAACATGTTTCTTGAGAAGGGCAAAATAAATGGCTTTCTTGACGAATAAGAATTTGGAAATAAAAGAGGAGAACTAGTTCCCGTTCTAACTAATAACAGTGCCAAGAACCTGACACCGTGAGTGTTGACACGCTTGTATTGGTTAATCATAATGCTTTACACGTTAATTTAGAAGATCCCGATTTCACAACATATAAACGCTAAAATAACAAAGTGTAACAATTAAGTCCTTTATTTGAGCATTTACATAAACGTTAAAGTTTTAGACAGTATTTTGTATTATAAAAAGAGGACCAAATCTACTTCCGCAAAACACTATTCAAATCGACTGATAGAAAAATAGAAATATTGAGATACTCTTTTATATGGAAATGCGTGTCTCAACACAGAGTTAAAACAACATTTAAAATAAACTAAACATATAAACTTTAAATATGCAAAGTATAAATATTGGAGCACTTTCTTTGAGATCTTTGATATAAACCTTAAAGTTTCATACAGTTTAGTACTTCAGACAGATTCAGACAGTCAAGTCCATCACAATCTTGACAAATTGGTTAACAACGTCGTCATAAGATTGACGTTTATCCACTTATACACACGATTTATCTTTTGGTGAAGTAAAACGTGGTATGTCATTTTTATGGTTAGATTGTGTAAGGAGATCGATGCATTTAATGCCTTGTCAACAAAATAAGCTAAAGAGTATTTAGAAAAGCTTTTAAAGCTTCCTATTGAATCCGTATTTTTAATCAACGTGTATTTTATTACGTGAACGAAACAATTACAAATGATATACTTATTCAACTAACAAAATACAGAAATTTGTTATTAAAGTTTTTATATCTACGTCCGCATAGCACTATACTAATCGGGTCAAAAGAAATAAAAATTATGATATCAATTTAGACGTAGATAAGTTTTGTTTACGCAGGGCTAATTTAGGCCTGGTTCCCAAATATTGAATACCCGTATAAAATGAAAACAGACAGATGTACAGTACAGTATGCAAACGGAGTTTAGAAAACATTTTATTACCATTTGATAAACGAAAGGTAAATAAAAATGCTTCGCAACAAAGCAAAATATTCAAACAGTGTCTCCACAAGTGTTAAGCTGATTTACAGTATATCATTTTTTGTCCATTTAATTGAAGACTAGCAAATAAATCGTGTCATTTAATAGTAAATTATGCGATTTATTCATAATCAAGTCTTATGTGGAAAAATATATAAGTGTTCTTAACAATCGTCAGAGAACAAAGTCGCTGAAACTTATGATCTCAGCGTGGCTTTAACGTTACATAGAAAAACAAATAAAACATATGAATATCATGTATTCCATTGGCATATGACGGTATAGTTGTATGCCAAGTGTAAACTAGTGTGCAAAGAGTGAACATTTTACATATATATATATATATCTAATTTAAAAGATCTAATGCTATTTTTAATCATATTTTATATTCGTCGCATGTTTCTTTTTCTCCAGTTGCCGATGAAGATAAACTTTCATGTCAAGGTTTTGCAGCTGATATAGTTATTCGAGATCTCATCTCTTCTGGCCATGCTACAGCAGAACCATGTCCCTGCATAGAACAAATTATTGCAATTGATGAAACGTTTGAAAAGGTTAATAACTGCTATAACCAGTGGTTCTTTACGGACGGTATCAAGCAAATGTGCTGCTACAGGTAAGTTATCGACCATATTATTCAAAACGAAAGTAAGCATTAATATCCAAGGAAATATGATGTTAGGATCATTTGTGCTCAAATTTCTGTAATTTTATGACTGTATGTGAAGGTACGTGTCAGAGATTTAGAAAATTTAGAAAAGAAACCTATTCTGATATATTTAAAAATGTAAGAAATGTATTAAAATGCTATATGACACAGTATTAATATATATTAGCCTATAAAACCCGGACAACAAAGCAAGTGGCAAATTGCAAACATCTGTTAATACACGGCCATATAGCATGTCGGAATTTTTTTATTATAGATTTTTACTGCTTATACTGATTATACAAAGAAATTGCAGCATTATGAGCTTTTTATAACCAAAATAAAAACATTATTGATGAAAAATCGACTTTTGAAAGGTCAAAACAGAAGTCGTTTTTTTTAAGATTTTTACATATTTAATAATGGTTGTACACAACGATAAATTATATGATGTTGAGACATTTATGGCATTTGTCTAATCTGTAGTGAAAATGGTCAGCTTCTAATTGATGGTCCCGGGGCAGGATATCTTCTTCTAGAATCTAATGAAGGGTACATTGAACGAGCTCACGACATGTGTTGTGGAAATGGATCAGATGCATTTAAAGAATCTTGTGAATCATTCTATCAAATAAATAAACCTGATGATTGTAGTACATACGTTCCACCTGTTGTGTGTAAGTTTTTTCTTTATGTAAAACAATGCATTCAAAATTATTGCATTTCAAAAACATCTTACATTCGGAAACTCGAAAACGCGTGTAATTGAAAAAGGCAATTGTTTGAATTCTTATCATTTTCATTGTAATTTAAATTGCTTTTATAAAAAGATACGAATTGTTTTGTTTTTTGTTTTTTTTTGTTTTGTTTACAATTCGTTTATTTTTAAATATTCAGATCAATTTAAAGTAATTTATGCACTCTGATTAATAATAATTTTGATAAAAATAAAATGTGTAATTTGCATGTACAGTATCAAAATATATCTTTTTATATTATAATATTGTCAAGTTACCAAAAGAATGTAATTTACACATTATCAATGGCACTTACAACCTATGTAAATTACTATAAAGATGGCAAAATATGCAAAAAATAGCCCTTACTGCGTTAGTAACGCAGTAAAAATAAAGTTATACATACTGATAAATTCGGTCATTATTCGCATTTAACATGTAAAGTTTTACTAGAATTTTGAATCCTTATACCTTACCTGAAATCTAAGTACATTCTTCTCAGGGTTGACTTTGTCAAAGTATTTTTGCTCATCTGGAGGCGTGCAGCTTTCAAGCAATTAACGACAAGAGAATCCAGACAAAGTCTATAGCGTCTTTGTTAGTCCTTCATGTAGTTCGTGTATTTTGTTCTTTTTTTTTTCATTCATTGGCATTGAAAGTAAATTCTTATTACAAATATGACTTTATTGAACTTAGCGACAGAATCAGTTAATTCACATTTAATTGTTCCCCAGGCTTTATATTTGCAATATATATAACAGACCTAAATATGGCTTACAAAAGTAATTTAATATCTGTGTTCGTTACTGAAATGTTTGCGCAACAGTCGCATAGCCGATGAAAGTCTGACATAATTTCCTTACGTATTTCTTTTACTGCTCTTCAAAATGATGAAAATTGCTGCATTTATTTATCAATTGTTTTAATTTGGGTTAAAATGACGAGAGAACTTGTTTTTTTATCAGAACAAAACTTAATCAGTCATCAACACTAACATATCTATTTTAAGGTGATAAGAACCTGATAAAAAAGATCTCATTAGCTATTGCATTCTTATGCAGACCTCTGAAGTCTATACATTTAATGGCTAACAAATGTGGAGAAGATATGGTATCGATATGTAGTTTAACGATTAATACAATTATTTATGAATTCATTTTATTTAAAATAATATTATGGCAGCAATGTCATCAGGAGATCCTGTCATACAAACAATAGATGGAGGAAAATATGATTTTAATGGTCATGGTGAATATGTATTTCTGACAGACGGGAAGTAAGTACATGTAGTTTAATTCATTCAGAGATAATTAAAATCAAAACAGATATTTTCAAATAAACGTTTGGGAAATTCTTTTAAAACTGTGACAAACACATATTTGACCTACGTGTGAGAATAAAAATCTTTAATCTTATAACATCCAAATCATATGTTTATTTAGAAAGTTTAGGTAGATATATTAATACTTACAAACTAAAATCTTTTATCATCTACCTTTGCTACTTTTTTCATTGTTTCCACAATGTCTACATCACACTTTACAGTGTGTTTAAACATATGTTTTAAGCATGTAAAGGTTAATTTTACATTACAACATTAAATAAGTGATTTCCAGCGCAATTTTAATGTATGATTTACTAGCATTTAACATAGTCGTAGCATGCATTTTTTATCGACTTATTTGCATTTGCACAAGGCTATAGAATTTCCACAATGACATATAATATCTGGCTACTTCAGGAACTTTGAAATACAAGCTCGAACAGAATATGTTGTGAAGGGAAACAAAGATTCGACATATTTTTCTGCCTTTGCATTGCTTGTAAGTGTAATCTTGAGTTTTCAACAAAGCCATTTATCTTATTTAAAGGCTTATTTCTATTGTGAAACTTACATTCACCTGAAAATTTCCTCAATTATTATGCATACAGGTAGAGAATAAATTGAATTAAAATATATTGCAATATATTGTTTGGCATGCGCACTCAGTTTATCTTACATTTAAAATACCAATTTATGGCAAGTTATAAATCTTTAGCAACAATATCTAGACATATCAAACTTTCAAATCTCAACCATATATAATTTTTTATGCTAACCTTTCTAAATATTTCTAAGACATATCATATGGTAAAACATTCTTTACATTTGGAATGTATTATTTTAAAGAGACCGTATAATAATGCTTAATTAGATAGTATGGTGCACTTTTGTCTTTTTTGAACAAGATGAAACGAAAATATTATAGTTTTATATGCATCCACAGGTGTAGACTTACATAGTCAAGGTTGTGTGAAGTTAAGAAGCATTTACAAAATCAATATGTATATTGTATGTCTATATTTAGGATAAAACGTCAGACGAGCAAATAGAGCTCCATTATGATCGGGAAGCTGATGATATCAGATATTTTCGGAATGGTTCATATAACAGCAATTGTAACGCATCATCAATGTTAGGACACGGACGACCTTATCTTTGCGAAAATCATCCTCAAAGGCCTAATTGTTTTGTGTTAGCTGGTGGTGGTAAAATAACTATACAAAACTGTGGTTTCAAATCTTATATCAAACAGGTATTTGCATCAGTTAATATTTAAAGAGATTTTTGTTTGATTTTGTTGCGTTTTTTTTTTTGTTTGTTTGATTTTAAAATAAGCATATTGAATATTATAAATACAAAACAATTTGTTATAAAACGTCTAAAATTAAGCTTATTTGCGGGATTTGTTTAATCATCAGAGATAAGAATAAAAATAATAATAGAAGGTAATTGTCAGATGGTTAAAGTGACTACATTATACAGATTTTGGGGTCATGCTTACTCTAATGACATCATTCTAACTAGTTCCAGTAAATGAAATGATTGGTGTTTTTGTTTCGTTCTAATGTTAAAAAAAGGATTGTCCAATTACATTTGTATCAAAGCTTGTCTTGTGTTTCAATGAAACATTTTTACTTGTGCGTTTTATTTCCTTTTCTGTGTGTTAATCAAAGCTGGTGTTTGGGACTGACAATTTTCTGAGTATACAGATCATGAGAGACTCAAAGGCAAATATAACAAACATTACAGGCCTAGCAGGACATCGGGAAGATGGTTTCTACATTGCGAGAAACAACTCAAAAGTTTCTGAAAATGCACCTGCATTATCATTCTTTCACTTTGGCGAATCATGTACGTTGTATCAGATTATTGTAAATTTGATTATTATTATTAGATATTGTAAATATATTAATGCACATACAATTTATCTACTCTTCAAAAGGTTACTAACACTTTTCAACAGTAGAGTGTGCATGTACAGTATATTTATATCTATATTTCAAATAATTAACATCTGAACTTTATTTGTTACCAAGGATTTTATAAACATGTTTGTTTGTTTATATTTTATTAATGGAAACATAATTTTTAATATCTAGCAGATATTGTTTACTTTGCTCGATTAGAACATACTCTATTTTCGAAAGTTCGTATTTTACAACATGTATCGGTATGTATGTTACGTATTATCCCCAAAACATTAATGTACATTCATCTAACGATTTTTGTGAGATATTTGTATCAGTTATGGGCATTTTTGATAAGAGGTATTTTATATTTCTAATATTGAATGTGATTAGACGTTTAGAAGAGATTTAAACAACCTAATTGTGTATAAAATCACATGTTTATGTGTATTTATTGCTAGGGTCATTACGGAGTGAGTCGGAGAGTGTTTTCATGTATAAAGAGACTGGCGGAAATTTTACAGTTTATAACAAACATCATTCACGACCAGAGTTCCTTGAAGACAAACTTGGCAACCTGACGGCATTGTTCAAAGATTTTAGAGCAGAAAATATTTCACTTTTCAACATAACGTGTAGAAATTATTGGAACAATGAGCCCAATAATCAGTGCCTTCTTGCCATTGCAAGAACAGGGAATTATAACCGTGGATTAGATGTGATGCATGAGGCAAATTCAACACGTTTCAAATGGGAAATTCTTCGTAATATTTATTTCTCAAAATTTACATCTCTTCAAATTTGAAAGTTTTATTTAGTGATTATTATATTTCTTAAAATGTATTTATAGTTTTCTTTTACTTCCAAGTTCGGAAACACCAAAAATGTGTTTTTGAATTTTCATGCACATCTTTTTAACCGATTCATTTAAATACTTAGCAGAAATCGTGAAAAAAGCAACAACAAAAATAACGTATTTACTTAATACGAAAGAAGGGAGTGTAGAAAGTATTTGTTTGTTAATATTAAAGGAATACCTGTTGTGTTGTAGGTAAACGTATTTGTTTATAACTATTTTATAAGTTGGTACTAGTAATTGCATATCTTTTAACTATATCTTTATATATTGATAAAATTACGATAACAGGTTAGGGGATGATATCGTGCTATCAAAAACAATGGTTAAAATTTGTTTTATATTGCCATGTACATTAAGATTTTCTATGTTAGGCTTTCAATAGCAATGAGTCAGTCGAGAAAGCCGAATAAACATTATCTATCAGAATGAATTTAATA